CAGGTCCAGTACACTCTGCCGATTGAGCTATATAGCTATAAAGACCTATATAGCTATATACACCTATAAATTATAGCTGTATTGAGCTATATTTTCTAAGATTTCAATTTTCATTAAATTAAAAAAACCCTGCATAAAACAATAAGGTTTATGGTAATGTTGACTACAAAAAGCATACAGTTAGATGTTTATTTTCATTTTTCATAAATGTAAAATTTCCGATTTTTTTACATCATTATTTTTTTTAAAGAATCCTTATATTTAATGTCTTTTGTTATCAACCTAATGATACAGTCTTCTTTTAAAAGCGACTTTGTTTCGTTTTCCTTAAAAAAGAAAATCACTTGAAAATAGCTCCAAAGACCTATTTCAGATAGGTCAATAGAGCTATTATAGGTCTTTACAGCTATATTGCTCAATCGGCAGAGTGTACTGGACCTGATAGTGACAATGCCATGCAAATGTAAATATATCAGTTTCCAGACATTAATCTTGAGACGTTTGAAACTTAAGTTATAGCTATCTGATCACAAATTGAAATCTGTTTTACTAATTTTTCAATTAATGCCACATCTGAAATTAGTAGCTTCTAGTGTTATAACGGATGTGGTAAAACGCATGATATGTTTGTTGTCTCGTGTATTGACCGTTGCTCATTAAGATTCAACAAGCCCCCTAAAAGATGCTGTAGTCGCCTAAAATGTCAACCCCCTGTTAAGTCATGTTCAAAGACCTCCATTAAAAATTGGAACTTATAGATGTTTTTTAATTGTATACATTGAACTTCTATATTGCAATTGGCTATACAAAAAATACATAGCCATGTTAGCGTAGTCAAAAATAAGGCATTAAGGCTGCATGATGTCTTCATAAAAATAGCTCCCTGGACTTATAACATGTCAATCCCTTTTGCGACACAACTGAGTGCTGAGAAATTACTCATAATTAAAAGTTTGCCCCAAACCTACGTCATGCCGACCTAAATCATAGTAAACTCTCCTGGTAATACATTTTAGAAAATTATAAATAAGAAAACAAAGGCTAAGTAATCTTGAGCGATATATGAACTTTAGATGATGTGCCATTTGATAACATTCTGCGATTACATGTATATGAATGCGCTAGACAGGTTATAAACATCGAAGCTGAAAAGTACGATATTGTTTATAACAAGTCTAGCTCTTTTATAAAAACATTGGATTTTAAGAAAGGACATTTTATATGAAGTTTGAGTAGTGTTTATAGTCAAAGGTCTATGGTTGTACACATATATACCGGTTACGCGGACGTTTTACTATGCTTTTTGTACTTTCCCACAGCAACAGTCATCTTCTTGTGAGGCCGGTATGCCTCTCCACACATAGTTAAGGAGAAATAAAGCCCCGCATGACCTAGGTATATATAAATGATCTTCAAATAACATGTCATTTCGTAACATTCAGTTGGATCGCTTAAGAGATTGACATGTTATAAATCTGGTGAGCAACTTTTATCATTACATCAGCCTTATAATGCCGTATTTATGACTTCGTTAACCGGGTTATGTACCTTTTTAATAGCTCAGGTACAAGTTCAATATATTTAAATTACATATCTATATTCCAATTTTTGATAAGGGTATTTGAATATGGCTTGCCATGGGGTTGAAATTTAGGGTGATTATTACATCTTTTAGGGGGCTTGTTGAACCTTTAGGTATCTCATACAGCTGGCTAATGTCAGTGTATATAGTATGTGATGGGCTCTAGATCCCGCTGAATGAAAGTGTACATGTTGACACCTCCGTTTAGTCGTGACAGTTAGATAGTGTAGGCAGCGACATCAGGCAATGATGGAGATGAACCAATATGTTTTACCTTATTTTGCCTTAAATGAAAAAGACATGTACAGTGTATATCAGTGTTAATAGCAGGTCACCACATTTTAATTGTTAACTTGCAGTTTTGAGATCAAAACTGCCAAAAAAATACTGCTTAACAGTATGTGAAATGAAAAAGAAATATTTACATATGTATTGTTAATTTTTGTCTTTAATTTGTAGGTCAAAAGCAATAAACAAGCTATTGATGAACTCAAGGCCTTCCCAACTGAGGTATGTATTTAATCTGTTAATCCTATATATTCCGTGTATTAATAGTTAAATGCCTTAATGTTATGGAATACATTTATTTTACGATGCAATTTTGCTATTATGTATAATCTTTAAGACGAATTGATACAAAGCACGGTCTAATGGAGGCACAGTAGTCTAGTGGATGGACGCCAGGCTCGTGACAGAAGGGTTGCGGGTTCGAGTCACGGCACGGCACTGTGTTGTAGCTTTGAGCAAGATACTTTTCTCCGCTTGTTCCAGTCTGCTCAGCTGTAAATGAGTATGTGGTTGGTCAGTGCTGGAATTTTTGCATGCTAGCTGTGAGCGCCCAAATAGCAGCACCGGCTGTATGCTCCCCAGGGAGTTGAGAAAGACATTGGCTAGTTGCAAAAGCCCTATAACCATGCAAGGATAATGATTTGAGAACTGCTTTGAGACGACCTACAAACTAGGTTGTGATAAAGTGGTATATAAGAACCTCAAATTATTATCATCATATTATTATACCAACCATCTTAATCACTAATTACCATGAAAAAATAAATCATTTCTGGTTTTCAAACGTCAACACTTTATCATAAAACTTTTATGTATTAGATTCAAAGCTTGAATACAAAATTTTCTTTCAAAGCATTTTAAATTTCCAAGCGACGTGAAATTGTCTCGGGTTTCATGGTTATACATGTATTCTTTTGTCTCGCATAGATTCCGTCCAACATTGAGGGTCGTTTGACGAGCGTGGAAGAACGATTGAACAACCTGCAGCCGACAGGGGGAGTTCAGACTCAGCTTATCAGCCTGGCCAACAGACTCAATATGCTGGAGACCGCTGTAAGGTTTCCCTGACAATCATCCATACAGTTGCTGGAATCAGGATCACAAATATTGCTCTGATTGACAGATTTAGAAATATTGCCTAATTCACCCCTAAAAACGCATTTGAACTCTTCCAATTCAAAAGGTTGGAATAGTGCATTATGAAATGTCAGGGTTGAATGAGATAATACTTGTAGCTGTTCTTTGGGTTTCACAAAGAATTCTCTGTATCATGATCCTAAACATTTAACTGATCGGCAGACTCAGCAAAATAGGGATTGCTATAGGTTTAATAACAAATATGTGAACTAATTTGATGTATCATGATTGAAAATCTTTTGCTTCAATAGGCTGATGTATTTCAATTATGGTTATAATTAGTACTGTTATTGTCAAGTGGTCAATAGAAATAATTAACTTGAAAATATGTAGATTTTGATTTACGAAAATAAAAATATATTTTTTAATATTTTTTTATCTGTAACTTATAAATAAGCTGATAAAAAAGAAACATAACTATATATGAATTTCATTTAGTTTATGATGTGTTAAATGTTATGACAAATGACAGCTGTTTTGTATTTTTATCACCTGCATTTTATGTATTATGTTTTATAGAATCTTGTGACTCGATTGGCAACCATTGAACAACAGATGACTGGACTACAGAATATACCATCCTCACTGACTACCCTCACGACTCGAGTGTCCGCCCTAGAGCGGAGTGTAAGTAATCACTGCCCAAGTGTACGTAATCACTGCCCGAGTGTAAGTAATCACTGCCCTAGTGTACCTAATCACTGCCCGAGTGTAAGTAATCACTGCCCAAGTGTACGGAATCACTGCCGAAGTGTACGTAATCACTCCCTAAGTGTACGTAATCACTGCCCAAGTGTACGTAATCCCTGCCCGAGTGTAAGTAATCACTGCCCTAGTGTACCTAATCACTGCCCGAGTGTAAGTAATCACTGCCCTAGTGTACCTAATCACTGCCCGAGTGTAAGTAATCACTGCCCAAGTGTACGTAATCCCTGCCCGAGTGTAAGTAATCACTGCCCTAGTGTACCTAATCACTGCCCGAGTGTAAGTAATCACTGCCCTAGTGTACCTAATCACTGCCCGAGTGTAAGTAATCACTGCCCAAGTGTACTTAATCTCTGCCGAAGTGTACGTAATCACCCCCTAAGTGTCCGTAATCACTGCCCATGTGTACGTAATCACTGCCCGAGTGTAAGTAATCACTGCCCAAGTGTACATAATCACTGCCGAAGTGTACGTGATCACCCCCTAAGTGTAGGTAATCACTTCCCGAGTGTACGTAATCACTGCCCATGTGTACGTAATCACTGCCCGAGGGTAAGTAATCACTGCCGAAGTGTACGTAATCACCCCCTAAGTGTAGGTAATCACTGCCCGAGTGTAAGTAATCACTGCCCGAGTGTAAGCAATCACTGCCCGAGTGTAAGTAATATCTACTTGAGTGTTGTACTTAGATAGTCTCTTCGGGCAGAGTGTAAGTTTACTATGTAATGATTGTTGTAATACCACATGCTATGTATGTACTGTATTCGACCCACTAAGAGCACCATGCACTAACAAAAGGGCTGCACTTATTAATGCATTGATGCTAAAACTGCCCAAAACTGGCTGTGTGTTTAACCAGCCAAAACTGGCTGTGTGTTAAACCAGCCAAAACTGGCCACCCATACTTGTTTACTGTTGCCAGGCTGTCGCTACAGAATCATGCATCTGCGTGATTTTGTAGCAGGAAAAAAAACCTATTCAAAATTGATGCTAACTGGTCGTGCTTTGGTGAAAAATGGCAATATTTTGATTTCTTCATGACCCACTGAAAAACAATGGTGGACAATATTAACTTAAGCGGTGATGAAAGTGTTCAAAGTCAATTTAGTGAGGTTAGTGACAGAAAATAGAATAAGAAATGACATGATAATCTTCTTGAATAATGGAAACAATATCAACATGTCAGATTTTCAATTAGCGATAATGGAAATGTTAGTGTTTTGGATCAGTTGGACTTGAAATATTTGTGCAGTCTTTCAAATGATGAATCAAATAATTTTTAAGAAGACAATTGGTCTAATCTTGAATCAGAAAATGATGCTAGACCACTGGCAGTCACGCTTTTATTGCGTAGGGACAAAGCTTTTTCTCAAAAGACTGAAGATCATATTGGCAGATCAGTACAGTAAAAAAAATCTGTTTTTAATTAAGTGCATCCATCCCCTACCAAGACAAAAGGTGGGAGTGTGGCTCTTTATAAGGTCGAATACGGTAATCTAATGGATACACTATTCTATCAGGTTATAGTCCATGATAAGGTCGAATACGGTAATCTAATGGATACACTATTCTATCAGGTTATAGTCGATGATAAGAGAAATACCGTACTTTGGGATATTTCGGAAGATGTTTTAGTTTTTTTGGCACTTGGAGTGAATGAACCAAAATTAAACGCACCTAAATTTCACGATGCCGAACTATATATTGTTGCAACCTCCAGATATCGTCATACCGTCTTCCGTATCATTTATTATGCATAAATTACAAACTTCTGTGCTTTTCATGTTAGCAGAAGTTGAAATCATTTGTTTTTTGGGCAGGAATAACACACTTCATAAGTAACACTTCACTACTGAAAGTGTCATAACCTTTCAGTGTTTTTATGTCGCCTGCAACGCGAGGCAACATATAGGTATTACTTTGTCGGCGTCGTCCGAAACAAGGTTTCCATGTGATAACCTCAGTTCCCTTGGGTTGATTGAACTCACACTTGATACACATATTGCATACCAATATAGCTCAGGGGTTTTGCATTTCAGAAGTTTACATGCGTTTTTGGTGGAGTTATGCCCCTTTTATTGCCAAATAAGACCATTGTGTAGTAAATTTAATGCAAGAACTGTTAATCTTTTAATCAATTCCTTTCAAAATTTGTATGGTAATTAATGCTAGAAGCAATAATGTTTAACATATATTACAGGTTTTTCTGTGGAGTTTCAACTTTCCATGTTTTGGCATATCACGCTTGACATAGCAACGCTGTTCATCGTTTTTGCTGTGAATTTTTGCTTGTTTATGTGATAACTCAAGCCAAAAACCTTTTCTCACTAAAAACGCTGAGCAGGCGACAACACATCAACTCCTGTGGAATTTTTGTTATATCCTTCGTTGTATTAGTTATGTCACATGTATACATGTACAGGTGAAAGTCACATCGCTATACGGTACATTTAAGCATTGATTTTTTTTTGTATGGCATTTATGATCTAATTGAATGACACACCTTTTCAAGCAAACAAAACATAATGCATTATTACGTTTTTCCGCCTTTCTTGTTTTTTTAACTTACCTACAAATTATATTTAAAATTTAAAATTCCTGCCTTATCGTCAGTCTGTACAAATTCGCTCAATAACTGGAACAGCGTGTGGTCACGTGCTGATTGGCTAAGAATTGTGTCTCGTGGTGCATGTCATTTAAAGTCCCATCTAAAGAGACAATGCCATGCAGATGTAAATGTATAAGTACAGCTGTAAGTGGACACATGTCCTCCTGTTCGGCAGCCAGACGAAGAGTAGTACAGTTGGTTGGATGTTTACGTAAGATGAAAACAAATTGTACAATTCTGACGTGTTTTAGTGAATACGTTGTAACGAAGGCTATATATGAATGAGCAGTCATTTAACTGCACAACTATTGTAACACAATAGACTGATGGAGCGCATGCCTTCAACGATAGGCATCACAAAGCACCAAAGTTTAGCACATGGGATCGTCAAACGCCAAAATTTGAGACTCCAAAATTTAACCATCCTATTTGAGCCAAAATAAAATGCCAAATTTAAGCGACTCCAAAATATCCCAAAGTGCGATATAATGTGGTAAAATTTTGTACCTTATTATTGAAATGTTGCCTGTTAACTCATGGAATAGTTCATTATGAAATTTCAGGGGTGAATGAGTTGATTTACTGTCTTTGTGATATACTATACATTACACAGCATTGATATTGACAATTTCCTGATTTACCACAGAACCATAAACAGTAAAGCTTAACTGTGAGATATTATGTAATAAGTCTGCAATCATTTTAATTGTTTAGGCTTTCGTTCCATTGCAAAAAAAAAAGCGTAGTCAAAAATATTGACAACTATTTCAAACTTCTTTTTTCTGTACATGTTTACAGCTATATAGCATGCCAAGTATTACTTTAAGAAATATTTATAATTAAGAAACATTTAAAAAGGAAAACTGTTGATTTTACTAATTTTATTTTCAAATATGCAATAAGATGTATTGAAGTCTTCTGTAAGAACAGTTATGTTCTCATTACATGTGTAGCATGATATTGCTATACCCGCACCACACTAATGTATCTGAATGCTGGACCTCACAGTGTGCTAATGTGTCCACTTCACTGCACATGTAACCTGTTTTATTATGTATGTATTCTGCATGTTTTCTGGTTCATGTTTAGGTGGAGAATCTACGAGCTGAAGTCACCGAGGCAACCAGTAATGAAAATGTTTTGTCTGACCTTGACACAAGGGTAGGTCACTTACTTTACTGTAACCAGTACTAAAGTCAAACTGTCTGACCTTGACACCAGGGTAGGTCACTTACTTCACAGTAACCAGTACTAAAGTTAAACTGTCTGACCTTGGCACCAGGGTAGGTCACTTACTTCACAGTAACCAGTACTAAAGTCAAACTGTCTGACCTTGACACCAGGGTAGGTCACTTACTTCACAGTAACCAGTACTGAAGTCAAACTGTCTGACCTTTACACCAGGGTATGTCACTTACTTCACAGTAACCAGTACTAAAGTCAAACTGTCTGACCTTGACACCAGGGTAGGTCACTTACTTCACTGTTACTGAGTTCTAAAGTCCAACACCTGATGTTTCTTACTTTGAAGGACCATCGGGGGAAATTCAAAACGTGGAGACTTTGACTAACAAATGTGAACTTCAAATGTCTTTGAGATTTTTTATATACTGCATAATACCAAATCGTTTTGGTTAGGGATGGAACACAATGCAATTTTAATATTAGATTTAAAGAAATTAGTAAAATATGTTTACCTGCATGTATTTTCACACTGTAAATTGTATGTTTAGGGGTTAAAATGACCGAGACATTTCAATTTGCAGGTAATTGTTTTCCTTTTTGATTTTTTATAAACTTTATGAAACAACTTTTTACAACTTATATCAATCACTTGTGTTGGCCCGGATGATAGTGTGCGGCGGATCTTATTGTGGGAGGAAACCAGAGTACCTGGAGAAAACTTTATCACTTTAATTGATCAATTGTAATTTTCAGTGTTTTGATAATAATCAAATCTTAATTATAATTCTCATTGAGGAATTCAATAATTTGAAATTGTATTTATGGACGCTTAACTGCATTTACTTGATCATGGTTTAAGGGGAGATAACTCCCTTTACTGTCTGAACCTGACAAGGGCAAGGTTACTGACTTCACTGTAACAACACTGCCTGACCTTGAGGTAGCTATATTTACGTTGACGACTAAACACAAGAAGAGGTAACTCCATTATTAGAACACTGTCAAACCTAGAGACAAGGGAGGTAACTCCATTATTAGAACACTGTCAAACCTAGAGACAAGGGGAGGTAACGCAATTATCATAACAGTGTCAAACCTAAAGACAGGGGAGATAACTCACTTCCCAACAGCCACACTGTATGAACCTGACATAAGAAGAGGTAATTCATTATACTTTAACAGCAGTGTCTGACCTCGATACAAGGGGAAGTAACTCACTTCACATATAGTAGCATGGTATAAACCGGAAAAACAAAGCAGAAAGGAGGTTGGAAATCACTTTGATATTGCAACAGTTAGACCTTTAAAACTAGAGTAGATCATCAAATTCTCTGTAACAGTACTGACTGGCTATGATACAAAGGGAGACAACTCATTTAAGCAGCATTGTCTAACCTTGACACAAGGGTTATACTCACTCAGATGATTCAATGTCTGTTGCTGTCTATTTTATTTTCATTCGATGATTTGCTTGTTTTTTGCACTTTTCTCAACTTCCTATTAGCACAATATATATTGTTTGGAACCAAGTTTTGGTTGTTTATCCTACTTTGTCCTGAGAATGTAGACATTTTCCTTTGGCAGTGCGTTTACTCATGAGGATACAGATTTGATTTTTATTTTAAAAATGTACATTTTGAAGAAATTTTCACATGGCATGATTTCATGTTTTACATTCTTGGTTACGAGTTTCACATGGCATGATTTCATGTTTCACATTCTTGGTTACAAGTTTCACATGGCATGATTTCGTGTTTCACATGGCATGATTTCGTGTTTCACATTCTTGGTTTCGTGTTTCACATGGCATGATTTCGTGTTTCACATTCTTGGTTTCGTGTTTCACATTCTTGGTTTCGAGTTTCACATGGCATGATTTCGTGTTTCACATTCTTGGTTTCGTGTTTCACATGGCATGATTTCGTGTTTCACATTCTTGGTTTCGTGTTTCACATGGCATGATTTCGTGTTTCACATTCTTGGGACGTGTGTAAAACTTTTTGTATTCAGGGCAAGTTTCCACCAAGCATAAAGTTGTAAAAAGCATTTCTCACAATGGTATTCCCATGGCATGTGTTTCGCTGAGAATATCGGTATTTACAGTCTGTTCTGAGGTTTTGCAGCACGATCTGCATGTCACTGCTGGCTTGTATAATAGTTGGTAACAGTTTTGGTTCGTGTTTATAGGTAAGAACAAGCCGTAACGACAGAACGAGATGGAGGATTAATCGACGGGTAATGTTTGTTATACAGTTTCAAATTGTAGTTTTGATTTAGATGTATAATACTGCATGTATGGGTGTGTCAAAATAAGAGAACATTTCTTCCTTTACTTTTTGTAATTCTTTAAAGATAATGGATCAATTTTAAATAGTCCAAGTTTACTTCTTATGACAAATATGGAAATGAATGATTTTTTTTGTCTTGTTGTAAGTTGGTACAGAGTTGTCAAGTTGTTGTCATCTTGTACAGAAGGGTCAAGTTGTTGTCATCTGGTACAGAATTGTCAAGTTGTTGTTAGCAGGTACAGAATTGTCAAGTTGTTGTTAGCAGGTACAGAATGGTCAAGTTGTTAGCTGGTACAGAATGGTCAAGTTGTTAGCTGGTACAGAATGGTCAAGTTGTTGTTATCTGGTACAAAATGGTCAAGCTGTTGTTAGCTGGTACAGAATGGTCAAGTTGTTGTTAGCTGGTACAGAATGGTCCAGTTGTTAGCTGGTAAAGAATGGTCAAGTTGGTGTTAGCTGGTACAGAATTTTCAAGTTGTTGTTAGTTGGTAGAGAATTGTCAATTTGTTGGTAGGAGGTACAGAATCGTCAAGTTGTTGTTAGCTGGTAGAGAATTGTCAAGTTGTTGTTAGGAGGTACAGAATTGTCAAGTTGTTGTTAGCAGGTACAGAACAGTCAAGTTGTTAGCTGGTACAGAATGGTCAAGTTGTTGTTAGCAGGTACAGAATGGTCAAGCTGTTGTCATCTGGTAAAAAATGGTCAAGTTGTTGTTAGCTGGTACAAGATGGTCAAGCTGTTGTAGGCTGGGACAAAATGGTCAAGTTGTTGTTAGCTGGTACAAAATTGTCAAGCTGTTGTAATCTGGTACAAAATGGTCAAGTTGTTGTTAGCTGGTACAAAATGGTCAAACTGTTGTAAGTTGGTACAAAATGGTCAAGCTGTTGTAAGCTGGTACAAAATGGTCAAGTTGTTGTTAGCTGGTACAGAATTGTCAAGTTGTTGTTAGCTGGTACATAATGGCCAAGTTGTTGTTAGCAGGTACATAATGGTCAAGTTGTTGTTAGCTGGTACAGAATTGTCAAGTTGTTGTTAGCTGTTACAGAATTGTCAAGTTGTTGTTAGCTGTTAGCTGGTACAGAATTGTCAAGCTGTTGTTAGCTGGTAGAGAATTGTCAAATTGTTGTTAGCTGTTAGAGAATTGTCAAGTTGTTGTTAGCTGTTACAGAATTTTCAAGTTGTTGTTAGCTGTTACAGAATTGTCAAGTTGTTGTTAGCTGTTACAGAATTTTCAAGTTGTTGTTAGCTGTTACAGTATTGTCAAGTTGTTGTTAGCTGGTACAGAATGGCCAAGTTGTTGTCATCTGGTACATAATGGTCAAATTGTTGTCATCTGGTACATAATTGTCAAGTTGTTGTCATCTGGTACATAATTGTCAAGTTGTTGTTAGCTGGTACAGAATGGCCAAGTTGTTGTCATCTGGTACATAATGGTCAAGTTGTTGTCATCTGGTACAGAATTGTTTAGTTGTTGTTAGCTGTTGTCATCTGGTAAAAAATGGTCAAGTTGTTGTTAGCTGGTACAAGATGGTCAAGCTGTTGTAGGCTGGTACAAAATGGTCAAGTTGTTGTTAGGTACAGAATGGTCAAGTTGTTAGCTGGTACAGAATGGTCAAGTTGTTGTTATCTGGTACAAAATGGTCTAGCTGTTGTTAGCTGGTACAGAATGGTCAAGTTGCTGTTATCTGGTACAGAATTATCAAGTTGTTGTTAGCTGGTACAGAATTGTCAAGCTGTTGTTAGCTGGTAGAGAATTGTCAAATTGTTGTTAGCTGTAAGAGAAATGTGAAGTTGTTGTTAGCTGTTACAGAATTGTCAAGTTGTTGTTAGCTGGTACAGAATGGTCAAGTTGTTGTCATCTGGTACAGAATGGTCAAGTTGTTGTCATCTGGTAAATAATGGTCAAGTTGTTGTCATCTGGTACAGAATTGTTTAGTTGTTGTTAGCTGTTGTCATCTGGTAAAAAATGGTCAAGTTGTTGTTAGCTGGTATAAGATGGTCAAGCTGTTGTAGGCTGGTACAAAATGGTCACGTTGTTGTTAGCTGGTACAAAATTGTCAAGCTGTTGTAAGCTGGTACAGAATGGTCAAGTTGTTGTTAGCAGGTACAGTATTGTCAAGTTGTTGTTAGCTGGGACAGAATGGTCAAGTTGTTGTCATCTGGTACATAATTGTCAAGTTGTTGTTAGCTGGTACAGAATGGTCAAGTTGCTGTTATCTGGTACAGAATTATCAAGTTGTTGTTAGCTGGTACAGAATTATCAAGTTGTTGTTAGCTGGTACAGAATTGTCAAGCTGTTGTTAGCTGGTAGAGAATTGTCAAATTGTTGTTAGCTGTAAGAGAAATGTGAAGTTGTTGTTAGCTGTTACAGAATTGTCAAGTTGTTGTTAGCTGGTAGAGAATTGTCAAGTTGTTGTTAGCTGTTACAGAATTTTCAAGTTGTTGTTAGCTGTTACAGAATTGTCAAGTTGTTGTTAGCTGGTACAAAATGGTCAAGCTGTTGTAAATTGGGACAAAATGGTCAAGCTGTTGTAAGCTGGTACAAAATGGTCAAGTTGTTGTTAGCTGGTACTAAATGGTCAAACTGTTGTAAGTTGGTAAAAAATGGTCAAGCTGTTGCAAGCTGGTACAAAATGGTCAAGCTGTTGTTAGCTGGTACAGAATTGTCAAATTGTTGTTAGCTTTTACAGAATTGTCAAGTTGTTGTTAGCTGGTACAGAATTGTCAAGCTGTTGTTAGCTGGTACAGAATTGTCAAATTGTTGTTAGCTGTTACAGAATTGTCAAGTTGTTGTTAGCTGGTACAAAATTGTCAAGCTGTTGTAAGCTGGTACAAAATGGTCAAGCTGTTGTTAGCTGGTACAGAATGGTCAAGTTGTTGTAAGCAGGTACAGAATTGTCAAGTTGTTGTCATCTGGTACATAATGGCCAAGTTGTTGTCATCTGGTTCAGAATGGTCAAGTTGTTGTCATCTGGTACATAACGGTCAAGTTGTTGTCATCTGGTACAGAATTGTCAAGTTGTTGTTAGCAGGTACAGAATTGTTAAGTTGTTGTCATCTGGTACAGAATGGTCAAGTTGTTGTAAGCAGGTACAGAATTGTCAAGTTGTTGTCATCTGGTACAGAATTGTCAAGTTGTTGTTAGCTGGTACAAAATTGTCAAGCTGTTGTAAGCTGGTACAAAATGGTCAAGCTGTTGTTAGCTGGTACAGAATTGTCAAATTGTTGTTAGCTTTTACAGAATTGTCAAGTTGTTGTTAGCTGGTACAAAATTGTCAAGCTGTTGTAAGCTGGTACAAAATGGTCAAGTTGTTGTTAGCGGGTACAAAATGGTCAAGCTGTTGTAAGCTGGTACAAAATGGTCGAGCTGTTGTTAGCTGGTACAAAATGGTCAAGTTGTTGTTAGCTGGTACAAAATGGTCAAGCTGTTGTAAATTGGTACAAAATGGTCAAGCTGTTGTAAGCTGGTACAAAATGGTCAAGCTGTTGTTAGCTGGTACAGAATTGTCAAGTTGTTGTCATCTGGTACATAATGGCCAAGTTGTTGTCATCTGGTACAGAATGGTCAAGGTACAAAATGGTCAAGCTGTTGTAAATTGGTACAAAATGGTCAAGCTGTTGTAAGCTGGTACAAAATGGTCAAGTTGTTGTTAGCTGGTACAAAATTGTCAAGCTGTTGTAAGCTGGTACAAAATGGTCAAGCTGTTGTTAGCTGGTACAAAATGGTCAAGCTGTTGTAAATTGGTACAAAATGGTCAAGCTGTTGTAAGCTGGTACAAAATGGTCAAGCTGTTGTTAGCTGGTACAAAATGGGCAAGTTGTTGTTAGCTGGTACAGAATTGTCAAGTTTATTAGCTGGTACAGAATTGTCAAGTTGTTGTTAGCTGTTACAGTTTTGGCAAGTTGTTGTTAGCTGGTACAGAATGGTCAAGTTGCTGTTATCTGGTACAGAATTATCAAGTTGTTGTTAGCTGGTACAGAATTGTCAAGCCGTTGTTAGCTGGTACAGAATTGTCAAATTGTTGTTAGCTTTTACAGAATTGTCAAGTTGTTGTTAGCTGGTACAAAATTGTCAAGCTGTTGTAAGCTGGTACAAAATGGTCAAGCTGTTGTTAGCTGGTACAGAATTGTCAAATTGCTGTTAGCTGTTACAGAATTGTCAAGTTGTTGTTAGCTGTTATAGTATTGTCAAGTTGTTGTTAGCTGGTACAGAATGGTCAAGTTGTTGTAAGCAGGTACAGAATGGTCAAGTTGTTGTCATCTGGTACAGAATGGTCAAGGTACAAAATGGTCAAGCTGTTGTAAATTGGTACAAAATGGTCAAGCTGTTGTAAGCTGGTACAAAATGGTCAAGCTGTTGTTAGCTGGTACAGAATGGTCAAGTTGTTGTAAGCAGGGACAGAATTGTCAAGTTGTTGTTAGCTGGGACAGAATGGTCAAGTTGTTGTTAGCTGGTACATAATAGCCAAGATGTTGTCATCTGGTACAGAATGGTCAAGTTGTTGTAAGCAGGTACAGAATTGTCAAGGTGTTGTTAGCTGGTACAGAATGGTCAAGTTGTTGTAAGCAGGGACAGAATTGTCAAGTTGTTGTTAGCTGGTACAGAATGGCCAAGTTGTTGTCATCTGGTACAGAATGGTCAAGTTGTTCTCATCTGGTACATAATTGTCAAGTTGTTGTTAGCAGGTACAGAATTGTTAAGTTGTTGTCATCTGGTACAGAATGGTCAAGTTGTTGTTAGCTGGTACATAATGGCCAAGATGTTGTCATCTGGTACAGAATGGTCAAGTTGTTGTCATCTGGTACAGAAGGGTCAAGTTGTTGTTAGCTGGGACAGAATTGTCAAGTGGTTGTTAGCTGGTACACAATGGTCAAGTTGTTCTCATCTGGTACATAATTGTCAAGTTGTTGTTAGCAGGTACAGAATTGTCAAGTTGTTGTCATCTGGTACAGAATGGTCAAGTTGTTGTCATCTGGTACAGAATGGTCAAGTTGTTGTAAGCAGGTACAGAATTGTCAAGTTGTTGTTAGCTGGTACAGAATGGTCAAGTTGTTGTTAGCTGGTACATAATGGTCAAGTTGTTGTCATCTGGTACATAATGGTCAAGTTGTTGTCATCTGGTACAGAATGGTCAAGTTGTTGTCATCTGGTACAGAATGGTCAAGTTGTTGTAAGCAGGTACAGAATTGTCAAGTTGTTGTTAGCTGGTACAGAATGGTCAAGTTGTTGTAAGCAGGTACAGAATTGTCAAGTTGTTGTTAGCTGGTACAGAATGGTCAAGTTGTTGTTAGCTGGTACATAATGGCCAAGTTGTTGTCATCTGGTACAGAATGGTCAAGTTGTTGTCATCTGGTACAGAATGGTCAAGTTGTTGTCATCTGGTACATAATGGTCAAGTTGTTGTCAGCAGGTACAGAATTGTCAAGTTGTTGTTAGCTGGTACAGAATGGTCAAGTTGTTGTAAGCAGGTACAGAATTGTCAAGTTGTTGTTAGCTGGTACAGAATGGTCAAGTTGTTGTTAGCTGGTACATAATGGCCAAGATGTTGTCATCTGGTACAGAATGGTCAAGTTGTTGTCATCTGGTACATAATGGTCAAGTTGTTGTCATCTGGTACAGAATGGTCAAGTTGTTGTCATCTGGTACATAATTGTCAAGTTGTTGTTAGCAGGTACAGAATTGTCAAGTTGTTGTCATCTGGTACAGAATTATCAAGTTGTTGTTAGCTGGTACAGAATTATCAAGTTGTTGTTAGCTGGTACAGAATTGTCAAGTTGTTGTTAGCTGGTACAGAATGGTCAAGTTGCTGTTATCTGGTACAGAATTATCAAGTTGTTGTTAGCTGGTACAGAATTATCAAGTTGTTGTTAGCTGGTACAGAATGGTCAAGTTGTTGTTAGCTGGTACAGAATGGTCAAGTTGTTGTTATCTCGTACAGAATTATCAAGTTGTTGTTAGCTGGGACAGAATTGTCAAGTTGTTGTTAGCTGGTACATAATGGCCAAGATGTTGTCATCTGGTACAGAATGGTCAAGTTGTTGTTAGCTGGTACAGAATGGTCGAGTTGTTGTCATCTGGTACAGAATTGTCAAGTTTAGTAGCTGGTACAGAATTGTCAAGTTGCTGTTAGCTGGTACAGAATGGTCCACTTGTTGTCATCTGGTACATAATGGTCACGTTGTTGTCATCTGGTACAGAATTGTCTAGTTGTTGTAAGCTGGTACATAATGGTCAAGTTGTTGTTAGCTGGTACAGGATGGTCAAGTTGTTGTCATCTGGTACAAAATGGTCAAGTTGTTGTCATCTGGTACATAATGGCCAAGTTGTTGTCATCTTGTACAGAATGGTCAAGTTGTTGTAAGCAGGTACAGAATGGTCAAGTTGTTGTCATCTGGTGCATAATGGTCAAGTTGTTGTCATCTGGTACAAAATGGTCAAGTTGTTGTCATCTGGTACAAAATGGTCAAGTTGTTGTCATCTGGTACAAAATGGTCAAGTTGTTGTCATCTGGTACATAATGGCCAAGTTGTTGTCATCTTGTACAGAATGGTCAAGTTGTTGTAAGCAGGTACAGAATGGTCAACTTGTTGTCATCTGGTACATAATTGTCAAGTTGTTGTTAGCTGGTACAGAATTATCAAGTTGTTATTAGCTGGTACAGAATTGTCAAGTTGTTGTCATCTGGTACAGAATTGTCAAGTTTAGTAGCTGGTACAGAATTGTCAAGTTGCTGTTAGCTGGTACAGAATGGTCAACTTGTTGTCATCTGGTACATAATGGTCAAGTTGTTGTCATCTGGTACAGAATTGTTTAGTTGTTGTTAGCTGGTACATAATGGTCAAGTTGTTGTTAGCTGGTACAGAATTGTCAAGTTGTTGTTAGCTGGTACAGAATTGTCAAGTTTATTAGCTGGTACAGAATTGTCAAGTTGTTGTTAGCTGGTACAGAATTGTCAAGTTGTTGTTAGCTGGTACAGAATGATCAAGTTGTTGTCATCTGGTACAGAATTGTCAAGTTGTTAGCTGGTACAGAATTGTCAAGTTGTTGTTAGCTGGTACAGAATTGTCAAGTTGTTATTTGTCTTTGGTTAATTTGTTTTTACCTTTGACTTACATTCTTATTTCTCTTTTATTTATGGGTCCACTCTAAGGAAATTGTCTTAAAACTACAGCTGTGTATTTAAGCACTTATGTTGATATTAGACTGATATTTTTTGGTCAAGACTTCGATCTTTACCAGCAATTCCATGAAACAATAAGAACAATGGTTTTGGTTTACACTCTTCTGTATTAAAGGTACAAATTAACCTGATCACAGCCACTGTATTTATATAGATATCTCCATGTTATACACACACTTGGATCGTGTAAAAAAGACAATATATACATCTTATCTAGTCTGATGTCATTTCCTTTAACATGTTTATTTCCACCATTTATTCAGGCCCTAATTATTAACCTCTCTGGTGTTGATGGGACATTTAGCACGTAATAATGTTGATACCATAACACCGGTAATTGATTCACATTTTTGAAAAGAAAAAAAAAACAGTTTGACTTTTTATTCTATTTAACAATCATTCAGTTGTCATTTTGTTGGTAGATANGGGGGGTGGGGGGTGATAAGTGGTTTCAGTTTCCGTGTCCGTACATCTCATGATCATGTTGTTGGTAGATACTGATAAGAGAGGGGAGGGGTTTGACAAGTGGTTTCATAGACAAATTTTACTCTATATACTAAATGAGATTAATTCTGTTTTATATGATACAGGTCAGAACATTGCAGACTCAAGTTACAAATTTACGTTCGGTAAGTACATAGCTTAGTAATAAGACAGTAGCAACGACTGAGAGGGCCTTTGTGCCCCTGGTCATGTCCTGTGGTCTGGCCATGTCCTGTGTAGACTACATCTTGTGGTCTGGCCATGTCCTGTGACCTGGCCATGTCCTGTGGTCTTGCCATGTCCTGTGTAGACTACGTCTTGTGGTCTGGCCATGTCCTGTGATCTTGCCATGTCCTGTGACCTGGCCATGTCCTGTGAAGACCACGTCCTGTGGTCTGGCCATGTCCTGTGGTCTTGTAATGTCCTGTGGTGACTCATTTGTTTTGATCTTGAATGATTTTGCTGTAATGCAGCATCCGTGGTCTGCCTATCAAAATTTCATTTAAAATCCTCTACTATTATAGGCCTGAACGATTGAGTGGATCTTCATTAAAACTAGTCTGGCGCATTTTTGGATTAAGATTTAAGACCCAATATTGTACAAATGAATGGAACGCCCTCAGCTTCCTGGAAACTTCTTTTTCCTTCAAAATATTGAAATGTTTGAAATTCCTTCCCAATAACTATATGATGCAATTGCTAATCAAGAAGAGATTTATACACTCCTGCTACCAGGATCGGCCCTGCTTCTAGGGGCATATTAAGAGATGAACAAAATCATGTTACCAAGAAAATATCTGAGGTCTGGCCCCACCCCTGGGGACTTAGTCCCAGGGGCCTAAACTAAGCCTTATATGGTTTGTACGAGGTCCCAAATGCCTAAACCTAAGCCTTACAGGGTTAGTACCAAGTCCCAAAGGCCTAAACCTAGCCTTACATGGTTAGTACCAAGTTCCAGGAGCCTAAACCTAGCCTTATATTGTTAGTACAAAGTCCCAGGGGCCTAAACCTACCATAATATGGTTAGTACCAAGTTCCAGGAGCCTAAACCTAGCCTTACATGGTTAGTACCAAGTTCCAGGAGCTTAAACCTAGCCTTATATTGTTAGTACAAAGTCCCAGGGGCCTAAACCTAGCCTTACATGGTTAGTTCCAGGTCCCAGGGGCCTAAACGTAGCCTTATATGGTTAGTACCAATTCCCAGGGGCCTAAACCAAGCCTTACATGGTTAGTATGAAGTCCCAGGAGTCTAAACCTAGCCTTATATGGTTAGTATGAAGTCCCAGGGGCCTAAACGTAGCCTTATATGGTTAGTATGAAGTCCCAGGGGCCTACACGGAGCCTTATATGGTTAGTACGAAGTCCCAGGGGCCTAAACCTAGCCTTATATGGTTAGTACCAAGTCCCAGGGGCCTAAACCAAGCCTTACATGGTTAGTATGAAGTCCCAGGGGCCTAAACGGAGCCTTATATGGTTAGTACGAAGTCCCAGGGGCCTAAACCTGGCCTTAGATGGTTAGTACCAAGTCCCAGGGGCCTAAACCTAGCCTTATATGGTAAGTCCAAGGTCCTAAGTTATTATACCTCATACATAGATATACACATGTGTTCAGGGGTCCTTGTGACCGTGGAAATTAATNGGGGGGGGGAGGTCAATTAAAGGTTTATTTGGGCATTGAAGTCTTTAAACTGTGGCCTTTATTTGTAATTTCACTGACATTCGTCATACTTTATGTTTAGCTTTGTTTCAATCAATGTGGGAACAAGGGTATACTGTTATGTATTTTACAAACATTTTCTACCTAATGTGATGGTTGACCTATTGAAGTAAAATATCCGTTAACATTTACTGTGAGGCCTGAGTTTGTAACTTATTGTAGCCCTGGTGACAGGGTGACTATATATCTAAATGTTCCCAGTAGTTGATTGGTCATTTCAAATTTTGTACTGATTTAACTTCCAGCTCCTAACACAGAACGAGTGTAGCAGTAATCCATGTAGGAATGGTGGCACCTGTATTGACCGATACAACGCTTACTCTTGTCGCTGTCTGCCTGCTTGGAAAGTAAGGTTTTTTGATCAGAAAGTATCTGGATTGACAGATTCATCAAATATTTAACTGTTGACTATAAATAGCCAGTGAGCGCTCAAATTCCACAAAAACTTGTGAAAATGTTTGCCTGTACATGTCATTCTGCATTAACCGGGTATTGGAGTTTCAGAAATGATATATATGTAATGACATTTGGAGGTCAGATGATAGCCAAGCATCCTTAAGATTGGGGATAAGTTTTGAGACAGTTATTTATTTATCATTGTGCATGCATTTAAAATTTGTTTTTGTGTTGCTTTTACACTGCCTCTATTAGGCTGTACAAAAAAACAAGTTTCTTTACATTAGCAAAATGAAGTTACGTTTGGTTTGAACACTTGTGCCCTAAGATTGACAATCTTAGGGCACAAGTGTTCAAACCATTGTTTGTGTTTTTTAAATATAACAAAAGATGCTAAGTAAAACTGTCCAGTTCGTAAAAACAATAAATGCAAACCTGTTGAGTTTCTTGAATAAATAAAATTTCAAAATTCATTAGTAGAAATGTTTTGTTGCCATTTAAAAGTATTTATTTCAAGCAGAAAATACTCGAACATTCTCTTGGGTTGTCCTCATTTTGATCTCTTTAACATGAAAATCTATACAGTGACCTCACTGTCATATATCTGTAAAAAAAGAAATTCAGAAATTTACCCGATCATAATAGAAATGTGTGGTGCTATTGTAGGGAGAAAATTGTGATGAAGACGTCAATGAATGCTCGGAGTATGCCGGAACAGATCGCGGCTGTCAGAACGGGGCCACATGTGTCAACAATCGGGGCGGCTTCTCGTAAGTATTCTGCTGGAACAGATCGTGGCTGTCAGAACGGGGCCCCATGTGTCAACAATCGGGGTGGCTTCTCGTAAGTATTACGCTGGAACAGATCGCGGCTGTCAGAACGGGGCCAGATGAGTCAACAATCGGGGCGGCTTCTCGTAAGTATTACGCTGGAACAGATCGCGGCTGTCAGAATGGGGCCACATGTGTCAACAATCGGGGCGGATTATCGTAAGTATTCTGCTGGAACAGATCGTGGCTGTCAGAACGGGGCCCCATGTGTCAACAATAGGGGTGGCTTCTCGTAAGTATTACGCTGGAAAAGATCGCGGCTGTCAGAACGGGGCCACATGTGTCAACAATCGGGGGCGGCTTCTCGTAAGTATTACGGGTGAACAGATCGCGGCTGTCAAAATGGGGCCACATGGGTCAACAATCGGGGCGGCTTCTCGTAAGTATTCTGCTGGAACAGATCGTGGCTGTCAGAACGGGGCCCCATGTGTCAACAATCGGGGTCGCTTCTCGTAAGTATTACGCTGGAAAAGATCGCGGCTGTCAGAACGGGGCCAGATGTGTCAACAATCAGGGCGGCTTCTCGTAAGTATTACGCTTGAACAGATCGCGGCTGTCAGAACGGGGCCACATGTGTCAACAATCAGGGCGGCTTCTCGTAAGTATTAAGCTGGAACAGATCGCGGCTGTCAAAATGGGGCCACATGTGTCAACAATCGGGGCGGCTTCTCGTAAGTATTATGCTGGAATAGACCGCGGCTATCAGAACAGGGCCACATGTGTCAACAATCGGGGCGGCTTCTCGTAAGTATTACGCTGGAACAGATCACGGCTGTCAGAATGGGGCCACATGTGTCAACTTTCGGGGTGGTTTCTCGTAAGCATTCTGCATGACAGATCACGGCTGTCAGAATGGGGCCACATATATTTATTAACTATTGGGATGGCTTCTCGTAAATATTCTGCTGGATTTTCACAATTTTTCCTCCATTTCAATAACCTAGCTAGCTAGGAAACAGCCATTATCTTTGGTCTGTAGTAGCTTGATAATCAAGGAATTATTCTGTTTTCACAACGTTTATTTTATCAAATTATTAACACTTTATTGTTAATACTGTATGTTTACAGGTGCCAGTGTACCAGTAACTATCACGGTATTCGGTGTACAGAGACACACGCTGACTGCACGGGAGCCTCCACTCAGGAACTGTGTGGACACGGTACATGTATCAACACAGTCCGTGTAGTACCTGGTCAGGTGTGTGCTGAGTGTCTCACAAATGTTTCGAACCACGTGTTTCTATTCCGACTACTGTGGGATATATATCAGCCATGGATTAAATATTTAGGTTGTGGGTCACAAGTATTGGGCTTCTAAACATTAGTCTGTAGCCATGTTATTATATATGTTATATCTTGTATATTTGTGATCCTTTTCTATACCCCCTGGTAGGATTGGATATTGCAATAATTTTTCACATTGCAATACAATTGTATACGACTTTTTCACCTTCCACAATGTGGCGCTCATGAGTAAAACTTCATATCAACCATAATTATCAAAAGTGAAGGGCGAAATGAATAAAGGCGGGCGATATGGATTTTACCGTCATATGGCGAAAGTGTAACTGTGTGATATTTTCCCAGTATTGCAATATTTAAGGGATTGCAATATACTGCAATACATCGTATTCATAGAAATTCAGTTGAAATAGTTGTTTATAGAATAAATGACAATCAGCACAATAATTTTCAGTGGTAGATTACAACATGCAAGGAAGCTTAATTTTGAAAACTTTAGTTCAATTTCAACATATTTCTGTCATATTATTTCAGAACTCTTCCTACACTAATATTTATTTGAAAATATCCTTTATTGCAATATTTTGCCATTTCAGAATCATATTGAAGTACATATTGATAAATAGATATTGCAGTATATTGGTGATTGCAATACTATTGCCCACCCCTCGTAGCCACCTGCTAAAAAACAAATTGGGACATATAAAAGTATCGGGAGCGTCCATCGATCTGTTCATTTGTCTCTTGGCATCCATCCATCTACGCTCTCGTTTCCGCAAAATAAGTAAAGCTTAAGTATCATTTGTTTTTGATGGAACTTGGTAAACATATGGTAAAGTACTTCAAAGTCTGTGTGTGATTAATTAGCATACTGCGCTCTGATTGATCAAAATTCACACTTTGGGTTCTGCAAGATAATGTGCTTAAATATCAGGGCTGCAACGATATATCGTGTGATGATATATTGCGATATTTTGAATACGGTACGATATACAAAAAAAAATTGGGAGGTCATGATACACCTACAATATAATCCAGATTTTGTCGTTTCTGAATTAAGTCAATTTTGGCGAGTAAAGGCTCCAGCTCGGCATGCATGTCGAAAATACGGGAATTTCATGAAACTTTGTAAGTCATATGCCCATTTTGGGCAAAGTATATTTCAAGTTATAATATTGCCATTTAAAATTTGTAATATACGTTTTCTCTTTGCTTCTACTGTTGCTATATGTATCGGGTTAGGTCTCGTATCGTGACTACAATATTGTGATACGTATCGTGATACGTTTGTTAATGTATCGATGCAGCCCTATTAAATATCAGTCTGTATTGTAGGTATAATTAGATCCAAAGTACTTGTGTAAATCAAGATCAATGTTTCAGTTGATCACACAGTTTCTTCTTTGAACAGTTGCCACTGTTCCTGTAAATCCTGCGAATAAACGATTCTTTCAATCACAGCCGAAGTACCATTGTGTTTGTGAGGATGGCTGGACAACCTCCGGCTCTGATCCTGCCTGTAACACTGACGTGGACGAGTGTGACAGTGACCGTCCGGCTGTATGCTCGGCTGATCCTCCAGTTCCCTGTGTAAACGTTCCCGGCACATTCTACTGCGGACAGTGCCCAACAGGTCGGCAGAATAAACTATGTATACATTTAAAGTTCTCGCAGTTTAATCTCTCTCTTCAGAAAAAAAAGTCAAACTTTTATGTTCTTTCTTAAAAATTGCTTGCCAAAATTGGATCGAATTTGGCAAATGTCAAGAATGGGATAACTAGCTAGGGTTTGCTCCCACACTTCTGAGCAGATTTTAACCTCAACTCTAAAATAGCCAGGTGAGTGATACAAATATTGGCCAAAAGTAGCAGTTGGTTTCGTTCTGGCTAGGTTGGGAAGCTTAAGAGATAAATTAGCAACATCTCCTTAGGAATTTAAGCAAATCAAACCTTTGTGATTTAGCAGGCTTTGATCTTGTAATCTAATTATAATCTCTGTTACGATCGATTTTAACTTTCATATTTAACATTAACCAGTACTTAGGTTTGTGCCTTTTCATGAATTGTTTGTTTGCATTTATTGTGCAGGTGATTAAATAGAATCTTCCCTCTACCTTGAGGGATGTGACAGAGAAATCTCCTACCTGAGGGGTGATGGTTTTTGGTTGTCTACCAAAAAAAACACCCCGAGGGTTGGCGATTTCTTCGTTACACCCTCAAGGTAGGGGTTTGATTATATTTCGCCCATCCTATTATTTCAGTCAAAACTCCACCGACAGTAGTCTGACATGTTTGTAAAAGAAAACGCATGTGGGGTATGCATATCATCATTCACTTTTGATGACGTCATGATTGCACACATGCTAATCGGCACGAGGCTATCTCCCCCTAGGGGGTGACAAGCTGATCTTTCCCAGCTAAAACGGGAGACACACCTGTGAAGGGTGGAAGAAAACATGTTCTCCTAGGGAAATATTATATTTATCAATACAATGTAGAATTTTTGTCTGCATTGTTGTCTGCAAACATGAACTTTGTAGTATGCGTTTAATATTTATGTTTACAGGGTACAGTGGAAACGGTTTCAACTGTGCAGACATCAACGAATGTGCTACAAACAATGGTGGATGTTCCCTGTCCCCACGGGTCGATTGTGTGAACACCCGGGGGTCACGGACCTGTGGTCCCTGCCCCACAGGCTATGTAGGAGATGGGCAGACTTGTAACTGGGTCGGCGTCTGTAGCACAAATAACGGGGGCTGCCACCCTCAAGCTTCCTGCCAGGAAAGTCCAGGTAAGTTACCTATCGGGAGAGTCGAGGTAGATTACATGTCAGTAGTGTCCAGGTAAGTTACCTATCGGGAGAGTCGAAGTAGATTACTTGTATGGAGAGTTCAGGTAAGCTACCTGTCAAGAGAGTCTAGGTAAATAACGTGTGTGGAGAGTCCAGGGCAGTCAGCTATCGGGATAGTCCAGCTAAGTTCCCTGTCAGGTCATTTACCTGTCAGGAGATTCCAGGTAAATAACGTGTGTGGAGAGTCCAGGTTATTTACCTGTCAGGAGAGTCCAGGTAAATAACGTGTGTGGAGAGTCCAGGGCAGTCAGCTATCGGGATAGTCCAGCAAAGTTCCCTGTCAGGTCATTTACCTGTCAGGAGATTCCAGGTAATTAACGTGTGTGGAGAGTCCAGGCTATTTACCTGTCAGGAGAGTCCAGGTAAATAACGTGTGTGGAGAGTCCAGGTTATTTACATGTCAGTAACAGAAAGTTGGGGAAGGTTGTGTAGCTGACCTCAAGATAAAGTTCTTTTTTTCTTTATCAAATGGATACTTCCTTAAATTATATAACATATTGAACTTCTGTGTTTTTGTAGCCAGACTGTTCATTGTCCTGTTACAGGTGTGTTGACCTGTACCTGTCCCCCTGGGTACGTTGGTAATGGGATCGGCTCCAGTGGCTGTGTTTCACAGGGCCCAGTTACTGGACCATGTAGCAGTAACCCATGCAGGAATGGTGCCGCATGTCAGGTTGGTACCGAAAGTTACAATAAGCCAGGTCCAAACAAACAAATTCTGTGTTTTCACAATTCACTTTGATGACTTGTGGATCTACGAGAATTGTGTCTGAAATAAGGTGTAGAATTCCAATATCCTTCCCACTATTGTACATTATATGTGATAGACTCTTACAGTATGGTACACTGAATCTGTTGTATAGCGGCTATTACAACCTTCACATGTAACACATGTAACGTGTCTGTTCCTCCATTACAACATCGACGGGGAACAATATAATGATGTCTTGATGCTGTGGTTAAAGCAAACGTTGAGTCTTTGATGGTCTGTTTTTGGATGAAATTGTATTTTTTGTAGTGCAATTCATAAAAACATTTAAAAGTTTCCATTGCACAATATTCATGAAACTAGCAAAATATTTCTAAATAAAAATCCTTCAACATGACACAGATTTTTTGACATTTTCCATTTCACAAAAGTGCATCTACATAATGATTTTCTACAATAATAAAGGGTTATTATTAAATCAGCTTATTCCACATTGGCCCAGTCATTTAGGCCAATGTCTGTCATATTGGCCTGAGGCAGAGTTTATCCCATATTGGTCCAGTTTTGTGATGATACTGATTGGGCAGTTTCCTCATATTATTGCTGAATGGTTATAATTCATGATAAAATTATTTACATTAAAGCATAGAATAGAAATGTTCGCCCTTGCTTTTTTTTGCAATTTTTAGTCCAGAGAGACAGTGTGAACTTAACAGGTGGTAAAATGTATTAAATACGAACGTATTGCTGTACTGGTATGTATGGGTGAATGGATATTAGTTGACGGTACAGCTCCTATGTATTGAAGCATCACCAGTGCTGTCTGACAATGCTGTGTTTTCTTTATGCCAGACCAACGGGAACAGTTTCCTGTGTGTGTGTATCCCCGGCTACCAGGGACAGCAGTGTGAGACTAACATCAACGAGTGTGCCAGTAGTCCGTGTCAAAATGGCGGCACCTGTACGGACCAGGTCAACGGGTACACCTGTCAGTGTAACACTGCCTACTCTGGCATCAACTGCCAGGAGGAACAACAAAGTAGGGCTTTTTAGGTCACCTGAGCTTTATCTCAAGTCACCTATTGCTATCCATCTTTGTCCGTCGTCGTGTGTCGTCCTTTAACATTTTACATTTTCAACTTAAGCTGAAATACTGTGAAGGGAATTCATTGATACTTCACAGGAATGTTACTGACTACTCCCTGACCAAGTGTTGTTATTTTTCGGGTCGATCAGAAATCCAATATGGCCTCAACGGCAGCCATTTTGAAAAACTATTTCAAACTTAAAGTCAAGTTCTACTGGGCCGATTTAACAGAAACTTGATAGGAATGATCAACTCATGGTCCTGACAAAGTGTTGTTATTTTTCGGTTCGATGATAAATCCAATATGGCCGCCACGGCAGGCCATTTTGAAAAACTATTTCAACGGAATAACAAGTTCAACTGGGCCGATTAACCTGAAATTTGGTAGGAATGATCGACTCATAGTCCTGACAAAGTGTTGTTATTTTTCGGGTCGATCAGAAATCCAATATGGCCGCCAGAGCTACCATTTTAAAAATAAATTTCAAACTTAAAGTCAAGTTCTATTGGGCCCATTTAACTGCAACTTGGAAGGAATGATTGACTTTTGGTCCTGAAAAAGTGTTGTTATTTTTCGGGTCGATCAGAAATCCAATATGGCTGCCACGGCCGCCATTTTGAAAAACTATTTCAAACTTAAAGTCAAGTTCTACTGGGCCCATTTAACTGAAACTTGGTAGGAATGATCGACTCATTGTCCTGACAAACTTAATTTAACGTTATACTTAACTATTTTTTACTCAAATTTTGGTAGGGATGATTGCTATCATTATCTCCTCTTCATATTTCAACAACAAAAAATTATACTGTAGGACTCAGGTGACCTTTAAGGCCCATGGGCCTCTTGTTATTGTCTCGCCACCACAAAGTGGCAGAAGCGAGACTTAGTTGATGCTTTTCCAGGCGACGGCAGCGTCAACGTTTAGTTTTTGCATTTAAGTTAGTTTCACTTAAAGTATAAGTGCTAGATCAACATTAAGTTTTTGCGCTTTAGTTAGTTTCACTGAAAGTATAAGTTGCTAGACCAACCAAACTTGGACCATAGATGCATCTAAGGTAGTACATCTCAACCCATGCATCAAATGCTGGATGCGGCCTCAACCTTTCATGGTCCTTTCACTTTGTCAGCATCTCCATCAACATAAAGTTTTAGCATTTAAGTTATTTTCTCTGAAACTATAAGTGCTACACCTACCCAACCAAACATGTGCATTAATGGTCAAAGCGGGCGCAGGTGAGACGTCATATCAATCCGAAAGCTTGTTAAATAATTCAAATATTCAAAATTAAAAGTACAGGTGAATTGCTTACAAAAAACCTATAGTGATTTCTAGTAACTTGTGCTGGGGTATATGTAGTAGACAGAGCTGTGTGTGTTTGCTTGGTGTATGCTGTATAGGTTAGCTTGGTGTATGCTGTATAGGTTAGCTTGGTGTATGCTGTATAGGTTAGCTTGGTGTATGCTGTATAGGTTAGCTTGGTGTATGCTGTATAGGTTAGCTTGGTGTATGCTGTATAGGTTAGCTTGGTGTATGCTGTATAGGTTAGCTTGGTGTATGCTGTATAGGTTAGCTTGGTGTATGCTGTATAGGTTAGCTTGGTGTATGCTGTATAGGTTAGCTTGGTGTATGCTGTATAGGTTAGCTTGGTGTATGCTGTATAGGTTAGCTTGGTGTATGCTGTATAGGTTAGCTTGGTGTATGCTGTATAGGTTAGCTTGGTGTATGCTGTATAGGTTAGCTTGGTGTATGCTGTATAGGTTAGCTTGGTGTATGCTGTATAGGTTAGCTTGGTGTATGCTGTATAGGTTAGCTTGGTGTATGCTGTATAGGTTAGCTTGGTGTATGCTGTATAGGTTAGCTTGGTGTATGCTGTATAGGTTAGCTTGGTGTATGCTGTATAGGTTAGCTTGGTGTATGCTGTATAGGTTAGCTTGGTGTATGCTGTATAGGTTAGCTTGGTGTATGCTGTATAGGTTAGCTTGGTGTATGCTGTATAGGTTAGCTTGGTGTATGCTGTATAGATTAGCTTATGTACCCCTCTTTCACAGAGAGTAATTTATATAATGATAAACTTTTTTTTAGCCTGTGGCGGACATCGTAGTGGAGAGACAGGAACTATTACCTTCCCTACAACACCTGGGACTACCTATCCACATGGCCTGAGTTGTGCTTACCGAATCACCACTACACCCGGCATGGTATGTCTCAACCGACTGTACACCCTTCTGCATTTAAACTCGCCTTTAAAGATCCCCTATCTATAAAGGTCATCTGTCCATAAAAGTCACCTGTCTATTAGGACCACCTGTTTATAGAGATAACTTGTTTATATGATCACCGATAAATAAAGATCACCTGTTTATAGAGATCACTTGTTTATATGATCACTGATAAATAAAGATCACCTGTTTCTAGAGATCACTTGTTTATATGATCACAGATAAATAAAGATCACCTGTTAATAGACATCACTTGATTATATGATCACTGATTAATAAAGATCACCTGTTTATAGAGATCACTTGTTAATAAGATCACCGATAAATAAAGATCACCTGTTTATAGAGATCCCTTGTTTATATGATCACTGATAAATAAAGATCACCTGTTTCTAGAGATCACTTGTTTATATGATAACCGATAAATAAAGATCACCTGTTTATAGAGATCCCTTGTTTATATGATCACTGATAAATAAAGATCACCTGTTTCTAGAGATCACTTGCTTATATGATCACCGATAAATAAAGATCACCTCTTTATAGAGATCACTTGTTTATATGATCATAGGTAAATAAAGATCACCTGTTTATAGAGATCACTTGTTTATATGATCACTGATAAATAAAGATCACCTGTTTATAGAGATCACTTGTTTATATGATCATAGGTAAATAAAGATCACCTGTTTATAGAGATCACGTGTTTATATGATCACCGATAAATAAAGATCACCTCTTTATAGAGATCACTTGTTTATATGATCATAGGTAAATAAAGATCACCTGTTTATAGAGATCACATGTTTATATGATCATAGATAAATAAAGATCACCTGTTTATAGAGATCCCTTGTTTATATGATCACTGATAAATAAAGATCACCTGTTTATAGAGATCCCTTGTTTATATGATCACTGATAAATAAAGATCACCTGTTTTTAGAGATCACTTGTTTATATGATCACTGATAAATAAAGATCACCTGTTTTTAGAGATCACTTGTTTATATGATCACTGATAAATAAAGATCACCTGTTTCTAGAGATCACTTGTTTATATGATCACCGATAAATAAAGATCACCTGTTAATAGACATCACTTGTTTATATGATCACTGATTAATAAAGATCACCTGTTTATAGAGATCACTTGTTTATATGATCACCGATAAATAAAGATCACCTGTTTATAGGGTTACCTGTCAAAAAAGATCACCTGTTCATAGGGTCACCTGTCTATAAAGATCATCTGTTATAGGGTTACTATTCTATAAAGGTTACCTGTCTTAAAGATCACCTGTTTATAAAAATTAGCTGTGTAAAGGGTCACATGTTTACAAGTATTACCTGTCTCTAGAGGCCAACTGTTCTATAGGGTCACCTGTCTAGAAAGGTTTCCTGTTTATAGGGTCACATGTCTATAAAGATTAGTAATGTTTATAGGGTCACCTGTCTAGAAAGGTTTCCTGTTTATAGGGTCACATGTCTATAAAGATCACTAATGTTTAAAGGGTCATTTGTCTAAAAAGGTTTCCTGTTTATAGGGTCACCGTCTATAAAGATCACTTGTTTATAGGGTCACATGTCTATAAAGATCACTTGTTTATAGGGTCACGTGTCTATACAGATCACTAATGTTTATAGGGTCACATGTCTATAAAGATCACTAATGTTTATAGGGTCATTTGTCTAGAAATGTTTCCTGTTTATAGGGTCACATGTCTATACAGATCACTAATGTTTATAGGGTCACATGTCTATAAAGATCACTAATGTTTATAGGGTCATTTGTCTAGAAATGTTTCCTGTTTATAGGGTCACATGTCTATAAAGATCACTAATGTTTATAGGGTCATTTGTCTAGAAATGTTTCCTGTTTATAGGGTCACATGTCTATACAGATCACTAATGTTTATAGGGTCATTTGTCTAGAAAGTCTTCCTGTTTATAGGGCCACATGTCTATAAAGATCACTTGTTTATAGGGTCACATGTCTATAAAGATCACTAATGTTTATAGGGTCACATGTCTAAAAAGATCACTGATGTTTATAGGGTCACATGTCTATAAAGATCACTAATGTTTATAGGGTCACGTGTCTATAAAGATCACTTGTTTATAGGGTCATTTGTCTATAAAGATCACTAATGTTTATAGGGTCACATGTCTATAAAGATCACTAATGTTTATAGGGTCACATGTCTAAAAAGATCACTAATGTTTATAGGGTCACATGTCTTTAAAGATCACTAATGTTTATAGGGTCACATGTCTAAAAAGATCACTAATGTTTATAGGGTCACATGTCTTTAAAGATCACTAATGTTTATAGGGTCACATGTCTTTAAAGATCACTAATGTTTATAGGGTCACATGTCTATAGAGATCACTAATGTTTATAGGGTCACGTGTCTATAAAGATCACTAATGTTTATAGGGTCACGTGTCTATAAAGATCACTAATGTTTATAGGGTCACGTGTCTATAAACTATCTGAAGTCTGAAGACCTACCCTGAACGTCCCTAAGTCATGAAGACCTACCCTGAACGTCCCTAAGTCATGAAGACCTACCCTGAACGTCCCTAAGTCAAATGTTTATTTCCTTCAGAAAAGGCCCAGAGTTCAGAGAGAGAAAAAAATGTAGTTTTAACGTAAAACAATTTATATTCAAATTTTGCAGTATAATGTTGTTCTTTTTTTCACTATTTTAAACATGTTTGGTGGTCAGTTGGCTGTATGACATGAATGTATTATATGTTACAGATTGTAATGATGACATTCACCTCCTTCAGCGTTGAGGCTCACGCTACATGTGGCTACGACTTCCTACAGATAAACGACGGCCCAACAGCGGCCTCCTACACCCTTGGGAGGTACTGTGGCTCCACCCTTCCGAACAACGGTCAACCAATCAACTCCACCCAGCATCAGATGTATTTCTGGTTTTTCACGGATGTTTCTGTGAGCGACACAGGGTTCTCTGCTACTTGGACATCGGCGCCCCCTGGTGGGTAAAAAGGGCGCAAATTACTAATTGTGTTAACATTTTCCCGACCTTATGCAACTTTCAGTTTGAACTATGAGAATTAGAAAAATACTGTTTCATATGACACATTGGGGACTGGAAAACTGTTTTTTTGATATACCAACAAAAGATTTAATAAAAGGCAGGTAGATTGGAATTTTCTTTAGCAGTTTATGCTTTTTTAAATAAAACAAAAATCACTACCGTATCCTGGAAAACCTTTGCCTTAAAGTCAGATGTTCACCTTTCACTGTGAAAATCTGTATTCACCAAGTATTAAACTCAGCTTCCACATATCCTTATTGTATATCATTTATTGTGCTTTAGTATTCGCTGTCGTGATAAATTTACCCTCATTGAGGAGGGCGAAAACAGTGAAAGTAAAACTTCTGGGAATGTTTTTCAGTATCCATTATCCTGTAATGGTGACAACGACCATCACCTGTGGTGTAAAACTAGCCTTTGTTTGTTTATAGTTTGTGGTGGACGTCTGGCCAACCAGCTCCATGGATCCATCAACAGTCCTGGTTACCCCGGAAACTACCCACACGACCGTACCTGTTCCTGGGAGATCTCTGTACCTCCTGGTAACAACATCATGTTTACATTTGCCACTCTGGCCCTGGAGTCCCATCCCAACTGTAGCTACGACTACCTCGAGGTCAGTACATTTATGTAAACAATGGTCAACGTTTCGTAAATTTGATGTAAGGAAAAAGAATGGTGCAATATATTCTGCCATGAAAGCCCTTTAGTGTTTTTTTGGGGGTTGGGAGAAAACTGTCTTGACACTGTTTTTGTCATACATTAGAGCTGAGTCACAGCTGCCTAAGATATTAAACCTGTTGAAAAACTACCACCTGCAAGCTCATATTCACTTGTCTATATTAACCACCTGTTTAAGCTTAAGAATTGTAGCAAGCTTGGCTAGAGTTGAGTAATTAACTCACAGAATTGCACCGAGCTTGGGTAGAACTGAGTAATTAACTCACAGAATTGTGCCAAGCTTGAGTAGAACTTGTGCCAATCTTTCTAGAGTTGAGTAATTAACGGACAGAATTGTACCAAGCCTGGGTAGAACTCAGTAATTAACTCGCAGAATTGTACCAAGCTTCGGTAGAACTGAGTCATTAACTCACAGAATTGTACCAAACTTGGGTAGAACTGAGTCATTAACTCACAGAATTGTACTAAGCTTGGGTAGAGTTGATTAATTAACTCACAGAATTGTACCAAACTTGGGTAGAACTGAGTCATTAACTCACAGAATTGTACCGAGCTTGGGTAGAACTGAGGAATTAACTCACAGAATTGTGCCAATCTTTCTAGAGTTGAGTAATTAACGCACAGAATTGTGCCAGGCTTGGGTAGAGTTGAGTAATTAACTCACAGAATTGTACCAAGCTTGGGTAGAGTTGAGTAATTAACGCACAGAATTGTGCCAAGCTTGGGTAGAGTTGAGTAATTAACGCACAGAATTGTGCCAAGCTTGGGTAGAACTGAGTAATTAACTCACAGAATTGTGCCAAGCTTGGGTAGAGTTGAGTAATTAACTCACAGAATTGTGCCAAGCTTGGGTAGAGTTGAGTAATTAACTCACAGAATTGTGCCAAGCTTGGGTAGAACTGAGTAATTAACTCACAGAATTGTGCCAAGCTTGGGTAGAGTTGAGTAATTAACTCACAGAATTGTGCCAAGCTTGGGTAGAACTGAGTAATTAACTCACAGAATTGTGCCAAGCTTGGGTAGAGTTGAGTAATTAACTCACAGAATTGTACCAAGCTTGGGTAGAACTGAGTAATTAACTCACAGAATTGTGCCAAGCTTGGGTAGAACTGAGTAATTAACTCACAGAATTGTGCCAAGCTCGGGTAGAACTGAGTAATTAACTCACAGAATTGTGCCAAGCTTGGGTAGAACTGAGTAATTAACTCACAGAATTGTGCCAAGCTTGGGTAGAGTTGAGTAATTAACTCACAGAATTGTACCAAGCTTGGGTAGAACTGAGTAATTAACTCACAGAATTGTGCCAAGCTTGGGTAGAGTTGAGTAATTAACTCACAGAATTGTACCAAGCTTGGGTAGAACTGAGTAATTAACTCACAGAATTGTACCAAGCTTGGGTAGAGTTGATTAATTAACTCACAGAATTGTACCGAGCTTGGGTTGAACTGAGTAATTAACTCACAGAATTGTGCCAAGCTTGGGTAGAGTTGAGTAATTAACTCACAGAATTGTGCCAAGCTTGAGTAGAGTTGAGTAATTAACTCACAGAATTGTCCCGAGCTTGGGTAGAACTGAGTAATTAACTCACAGAATTGTACCAAGCTTGGGTAAAACCGAGTAATTAACTCACAGAATTGTACCAAGCTTGGGTAGAGCTGAGTAATTAACTCACAGAATTGTGCCAAGCTTGAGTAGAGTTGAGTAATTAACTCACAGAATTGTACCGAGCTTGGGTTGAACTGAGTAATTAACTAACAGAATTGTGCCAAGCTTGGGTAGAGTTGAGTAATTACCTCACAGAATTGTGCCAAGCTTGGGTAGAACTGAGTAATTAACTCACAAAATTGTGCCAAGCTCGGGTAGAACTGAGTAATTAACTCACAGAATTGTGCCAAGCTTGGGTAGAACTGAGTAATTAATTCGCAGAATTGTACCAAGCTTGGGTAAAACTGAGTAATTAACTCACAGAATTTTGTCAAGTTTGGGTAGAGTTGAGTAATTCACTCACAGAATTGTATCAAGTTTGGGTAGAGTTGAGTAATTAACGCACAGAATTGTGCCAAGCAGGGGAGAACGGAGTAAGCAACGCACAGAATTGTGCCAAGCTTGGGGAGAACTGAGTAATTAACTCACAGAATTTTGTCAAGTTTGGGTAGAGTTGAGTAATTAACTCGCAGAATTGTATCAAGTTTGGGTAGAGTTGAGTAATTACCTCACAGAATTGTATCAAGTTTGGGTAGAACTGTGTAATTAATTCGCAGAATTGTACCAAACTTGGGTAGAGTTGAGTAATTAACTCAAAGAATTGTACCAAGCTTGGGTAAAACTGAGTAATTAACTCACAGAATTTTGTCAAGTTTAGGTAGAGTTGAGTAATTAACTCAAAGAATTGTACCAAGCTTGGGTAAAACTGAGTAATTAACTCACAGAATTTTGTCAAGTTTGGGTAGAGTTGAGTAATTAACTCACAGAATTGTATCAAGTTTGGGTAGAACTGAGTAATTAATTCGCAGAATTGTACCAAGCTTGGGTAGAGTTGAGTAATTAACTCACAGAATTGTACCAAGCTTGGGTAGAAGTGAGTAATTAATTCACAGAATTGTGCCAAGCTTGGGTAGAAATGAGAAATTAACTCACAGAATTGTACCAAGCTTGGGGAGAACTGAGTAATTAATTCGCAGACTTGTACCAAGCTTGGGTAGAAGTGAGTAATTAATTCACAGAATTGTGCCAAGCTTGGGTAGAAATGAGAAATTAACTCACAGAATTTTGTCAAGTTTGGGTAGAGTTGAGTAATTTACTCACAGAATTGTATCAAGTTTGGGTAGAGTTGAGTATTTATGCATACAGGATTGTGTCAAGCTTGTATCACCGGTCCGATTGTTATCACTAGGGTCTGACTTGTTTTTACTTGGGACCCTAGGTAACTTGGAAACTTTAGGTTACAAATACACATAATGTCAGTTTCACTTTCTTTATTCTAGTCCAACTTCATATCTTATACATGGAAACTTAATTGTTCAATCCATTCCCTTCTGTTTCCATCACCATTTTTTCTCCTTTAGTTCTCTTCAGTCTCACTTCCCAAGATCTCTCTCTAATTCTTTCTCTGTTTATCTCTGACTCTGTCCTTGGACTCTCTCCTTCAGCTCTCTTCTTCCACTCTCTCAACCTTCGATCTCTACCTATTATAAAGACAATCTAACACTACTTATTCTTAACTAAATCTTCTAATTCTATTGGCTAATTCCATCCCTAGGAGGTGGGGCTACATTTATCTTTTAGAAGTCTTTTGATGACCATTTCCCTGTCTAAGGACCATGATTAAACTTATCAATGCATTATACTAAATGGACCTTACATCCACACACCATTGTCCTTCAACCCTTCACACAGACATTCCCACACACTCCATTCCCTTTGAGTTCCTACCACCATGTGTGTCCGGGTCTTCTCCTTTGTTATCAATTACAATCTCTTTTTAATTGCCTTCTTCTTACTCTTCTGATCTTACTCACTACCATTTTTCATCTGTCATACTTGGTTGGAATTGAATAATTCAAGCAGTCATTAGTTCTCTTTTTCTGATTGACCCTTTAAAATGTTTTACATTCTGTAAAGTTTGCTAGGAATGGCTTTGTATAGCAATATACTGGAATGGTACTACCGTACTCTCAACACTGCATGTAGATTAGAAATACCATAAAATCTCATTATCAGGAAGTGTTCGGATCTCCTTATGAACACAATAAGAAGACATGGTTTCTTTTTACATAGGATATCTAAAATGACAGGGAAACCAACAAATAATGGATCTTAATGATTTCAGAATTATCAATGTTTGTAAATAACTAGGCTGTGATTATTTATTGCTTTGTATTCGCCGAAAGTATTATAATTTTTATTTTCTGTTTCTGTAGATTCGAGATGGCCCACTTCCGTCGTCCCAGATACTGCAACGATACTGCAATACATCCCAGCCCCCACCGCTGTCCACGACCGGCCCGAGTGCCTTCGTCAAGTTCCATTCTGATGCCACATTGAGTGATCATGGTTTCCATATCACATATGTGACAGTTTCTGGTGAGCATCCCCGTAAAACAGAAAACCTGATAAGATGCTTGTGGTCATCGGTCCAGGTAAAAAGGGTCGAGGGTCACAGTCAGATCACACTTCTGAAATGAAAATATTGTGTACAACATATCTCATGAACCCCTCAACGTATTTAGTTCGTACTTTGACCATAGTTTGGTGACATTGAGTCCTACAACTGAGTATACTTTGATGGTCATTGGTCAAGGGTAAAGGGTCAAAGTTCACAAGCACGGGAGGGTGGGAAAGGGGGATGGGTTGGGTGATATATTGAGTGCTTGTTAACTTTTGTTCTTATTATTTTATCTTTTCAGTAATGGTCGGCCAGCTTTTGTACCTTAATTTTTAATTTTTGACCTGTAAATATACTGTTAAATGTGAGGTATTTTTTAATCACTAAATGTGAATATCTATATTTTGAGGTGATAATTATGTGGATGCTATTTGATTATAAAATGTTTTTCTCTAACTGTCCTTTACCGTCGTGGAGGTGAGATAGGGAATCTCAATGATTTCTTCTGTCTGTCCATCCACCTGTCTGTCCATCCACACTCAGAATCTCAGTTTTGTTTGACCTTTGAATGTGAGATGTTCTTTGTTGGTAGCTGGTGACCAGTGTGGGGGAGTACTAACGAGTGAGACAGGCGTGCTTACCTCCCCTAACTACCCAGGGTATTACGATCACAACGGTTACTGTGCCTGGTCTATCTACGCAACCCCAGGAGATAGTATATCTCTCACATTCACCGATATGGACCTGGAGAACGGTGGCTGTTCGTATGACTATGTAGAGGTAGGTCAGAAATCATTTTAACTGTCAAAAGGCTGTAGAGTTTGAGAGTTTAGGGTGGTCGGGTGGCACAGTGGATAGTGCACTCCCCTTTCACCAAGGCGTCAGGGGTTTGATTTCCCGATCGGACATGAAAAAGTATGAGGTCACGTACCTGCCCGACCATGTTGGTTTTCTATGGTTACTCATTTGTTTCATGCATGTTGTAAAATAAATAAAGTTTATATTTATATTTAGAGTTTGGGAAAACTACAGTGATAAACACTTAATATTATATGACATGAAATTAATAGAGACACGTCAGGCACCCTATAATCTGTCTTAGAAAAAAAAAGTAATTACAGTGTAGCAGAGCTCGACTGGGTCAATTGTCAGTGACCAGGTCACTCAATTGGTAGAGCGCCCGTCCATAGTTCGTAGGTTCCCAGTATGGCATGGTATTGTGACGCTCCTTCTATAACCAAATTGGTGAGCTTGCCAGCATTAGGTGTATGCTTGGCAAGGGGATACCAGAACCTGGGTTTTAAACAGTGATGTCTTCAGGGGTGAAGACTTAGAAAAAGGCGGGAGGAATGTAGCGGAACTGGACTGGGTAGATCATCCGCAAACATGCACCTCAATTTAGTAGTGTCTGTCTGTCTGTCTATATTCCTAGAGGTCCTGTGTTTAAATCCCGGTCGGGCTGTGTATTTCTCTTTCTCCTTATAATAACGATATTAAATAAAAATAAAAAAAATAAAAAACACCTGTGAAACCAAAAACACTAAATTATTTTTAAGAAATTGTAATTTTAACAAATATGTGAGGACATTTCAAACTTACTTAAAAAGTAAGTGGATATAATTTCCAAAAAATTTGTAATGATTATTATTTATTTAGTCAATGAATGATATTGGTTATATGCTTTGCAGAGTTAAATCTATTCGGAGACCATACTAGTGTGTTGACTTTTCTAACACATAATGATCTACAATCTGTGCCGGTTATGGAGGTCATGACCTAAGATGCTGTGAGAATGTAAACAATTATTGAAATTGGTTTAAGAATATATAGGTAACGAAGTACGTTAACTTTCTAGTTTCTGTTAGCCTTACAAATATTCAACTATCCCTCAGGTACGAGACGGCGATAATGAGGATGCCCCTCTGTTTGGTCGTTACTGTGGTTCCAGTATCCCATCCACTCTAGTGACTTCTGGGAATCACATGTTTATTGAGTTTCGAACGGATGGATCTGTGCGAGACAATGGCTTCCGAGCTCAATGGACATCAGGTAAAATAGAACACCATGTACCGTCTATACTTATCTCTGGCCTGGGCTCTGATTGGCTGCAACTCTTTCCACTTGTTTTACAGCTGTTGGTTAAAATCTTCTCACAAATCATTTTGATCATATTCCAAGTAATCTTAGTCCTTATAGTCCTTATCTGCAGTACAAAATGGCTGCCTCCAAAACCAAGCTATTTTTCAGCCAACTGCCTATTGGTCTTTTTGAAAGGCAAGTAAAATTTGAAAACTCCGCGTTTTCAAAGGCTTCTCAAGACCATACAACCTTACTGTTTGACTTCAATTCAGACACCTATTTTTGCACAACTGCGTTAGTCTGTGTAATATCAACCTTTCTTGCAAACAGATTAAAACCCCTGCGCGATACTCTGATCAGCTGAAATATTAAAAGTGTTCTCTGGTGACCGTTTAGGCCCCGGGACCTCTGGTTAACATTTAATGGTAGTATAGCAGATGTTAATTGTACATAAGATTACGATCACCTTCTAGCTTCAAGCTAGAGGGAATTTCCCTTTAGCTCAAATGTAGAGCGTCCGACTAGGAACCTGGAGATCGAGGGTTCGATCCCCAGTGGAAGAACACTTTTCTCTTTCCTGTTTCAAATGGTGTCTGTGGCCCTCCCTGCGGTGACAGGGAGTTAGAACCTGGGTTGTGGTGTTCGAGGGCGCACAAATTTAAAAAAAAAAAGGGGGGGGGGGGAGGTACTGTGGCAGATTTTAATTGTACATAGGATTATGATCGCCTTCTAGCTTTGTGCTAAAGGGATTTTCCCTTTAGCTCAGTGGTAGAGCCTTTGACCAGAAACCTAGGGTTCATGGGTTCGATCCCCGGTGGAAGCACACTATTCTTTTTCCTGTTACAGTAGTATGCACCATACTTTTATTCCAATATCTTCTACAAGTTATGCTGAGATCATGCATTGGAACTGTACTATTACCATCTTCAGTGTAAAACTCGCACATTTCAATCCTCCAACCCCTCCCACACTTTTTTTGCACAGTAATCAAATCTTAATTCATGCTCAATGGGTTATACATTTAATAACAAATATATTTTTTACATTTAGTAAATCTTTTCCTTTTTCAGTTTGCGGAGGGTTATACACTTCTCTGTTGGGTACCTTCAGTTCCCCAAACTTCCCTAATCCATACCCACACAACAAGGAATGTATCTACACCATAAATCAACAAAATGGATTTGGTGTGACCTTGACCTTCACGTCCTTTGATGTGGAAGGAACGTCAGGATCGTCGTGTCCGTTTGACTATGTGGAGGTAAAGTTTAGAATCCTTCTTTAAAATCCGAAGAATGGCTTGTATGAGCAGCAAGGTTAGAGAGCTTTATCCTATGTAAACTGTTGTAACTGTAATTGGATGACAACTTTATTTACCCTTCACCTTATGAGGGGGTATATAGTAATCACTTGATCGGTGCATGCATGCTTGGCCCCGCGCGTCTGTCCATCCATCCATAGTGAAAAGATTGTGTACAAGATATCTCATGAACTCCCGAACAGATTAAAAGGATAAAGGAATGACCGAGGGTGCAACATTTACCCTTGTACATTGATCCCTAGTGGTGTCAGGGTGTGTAGTTGGTGACCCCTAGTGATGTCAGGGTGTGTAGTTGGTGATCCCTAGTGGTGTCGGGGTGTGTAGTTGGTGATCTCTAGTGGTGTCAGAGTATGTAGTTGGTGATCCCTAGTGGTGTCAGGATGTGTAGTTGGTGATCCCTGGTTGTGTCAGGGTGTGTAGTTGGTGATCTCTAGTGGTGTCGGGGTGTGTAGTTGGTGATCCCTAGTGGTGCCAGGGTATGTATTTGGTGATCCCTAGTGGTGTCAGGGTGTGTGGTTGGGGATCCCTAGTGGGGTCAGGGTGTGTAGTTGGTGATCTCTAGTGGGGTCAGGGTATGTAGTTGGTGATCCCTAGTGGTGTAAGGGTGTGTAGTTGGTGATCCCTAGTGGTGTGAGGGTGTGTAGTTGGTGTGTCCAGTAGTGGTGTCAGGGTGTGTAGTTGGTGATCCGTAGTGGTGTCAGGGTGTGTTGTTGGTGATCCCTAGTGGTGTCAGGGTGTGCAGTTAGTGATCCCTAGTGGTGTCGGGGAGTGTAGTTGGTGATCTCTAGTGGTGTCAGAGTATGTAGTTGGTGATCCCTAGTGGTGTCTGGGTGTGTAGTTGGTGATCCCTATTGTTGTCAGGGTGTGTAGTTGGTGATCCCTAGTGATGTCAGGGGGTGTAGTTGGTGATCCCTAGTGGTGTGAGGGTTGTAGTTGGTGATCCCTAGTGGTGTCCGGGTATGTAGTTGGTGATCCCTAGTGGTGTCAGGATGTGTAGCTGGTGATCCCTAGTGGTGTCAGGGTGTGTGGTTGGGGATCCCTAGTGGGGTCAGGGTGTGTAGTTGGTGATCCCTAGTGATGTCAGGGGGTGTAGTTGGTGATCCCTAGTGGTGTGAGGGTTGTAGTTGGTGATCCCTAGTGGTGTCAGGGTATGTTGTTGGTGATCCCTATTGGTGTCAGGGTGTGTAGTTGGTAATCCCTAGTGGTGTCAGGGTGTGTAGTTGGCGATCCCTAGTGGTGTCAGGGTGTGTAGTTAGTGATCCCTAGTGGTGTCGGGGTGTGTAGTTGTTGATCCCTAGTAGTGTCAGGGTGTGTAGGTGGTGATCTCTAGTGGTGTCAGGGTATGTAGTTGATCCCTAGTGGTGTCAGGGTGTGTAGTTGGCGATCCCTAGTGGTGTCAGGGTGTGTAGTTAGTGATCCCTAGTGGTGTCGGGGTGTGTAGTTGGTAATCCCTAGTGGTGTCAGGGTGTGAAGTTGGTGATCCCTAGTGGTGTCAGGGTGGGTAGTTGGTGATCCCTAGTGGTGTCAGGGGATGTAGTTGGTGATCCCTAGTGGTGTCGGGGTGTGTAGTTGGTAATCCCTAGTGGTGTCAGGGTGTGTAGTTGGGGATCCCTAGTGGTGTCAGGGTGTGTAGCTTGTGATCCCTAGTGGTAACAGGGTGTGTAGTTGGTGATCCCTAGTGGTGTCCGGGTGTGTAGTTGGTGATCCCTAGTGGTGTCAGGGTGTGTAGTTGTTGATCCCTAGTAGTGTCAGGGTGTGTAGTTGGTGATCTCTAGTGGTGTCAGGGTATGTAGTTGGTGATCCCTATTGTTGTCAGGGTGTGTAGTTGGTGATCCCTATTGGTGTGAGGGTGTGTAGTTGGTGATCCCTAGTGGTGTGAGGGTGTGTAGTTGGTGATCCCTAGTGGTGTGAGGGTTGTAGTTGGTGATCCCTAGTGGTGTCAGGGTATGTAGTTGGTGATCCCTAGTGGTGTCAGGATGTGTAGTTGGTGAGCCCTAGTGGTGTCAGTGGGTGTAGTTGGGGATCCCTAGTGGTGTCAGTGGGTGTAGTTGGCGATCCCTAGTGGTGTCAGGGTGGGTAGTTTGTGATCCCTATTGGTGTCAGGGTGTGTAGCTTGTGATCCCCAGTGGTGTCAAGGTGTGTAGTTGGTGATCCCTAGTGGTGTCGGGTGTGTAGTTGGTCATCTCTAGTGGTGTCAGGGTGTGTAGTTGGTGATTACTAGTGGTGTCAGGGTGTGTAGTTGGTGATTCCTAGTGATATCAGGGTGTGTAGTTGGTGATCCCTAGTGGCGTCAGTGGGTGTAGTTGGTGATCCCTAGTTGTGTCAGGGTGTGTAGTTGGTAATCCCTAGTGGTGGGAGGGTTGTAGTTGGTGATCCCTAGTGGTGTCAGGATGTGTAGTTGGTGATCCCTAATGGTGTCAGTGGGTGTAGTTGGTGATCCCTACTGGTGTCAGGATGTGTAGTTGGTGATCCCTAGTGGCGTCAGGGCGTGTAGTTGGTGATCCCTAGTGGTGTCAGGATGTGTAGTTGGGGATCCCTAGTGGTGTCAGGGTGTGTAGTTTGTAATCCCTAGTGGTGTCAGGGTGTGTAGTTGGTTATCCCTAGTGGTGTCAGGGTGTGTAGTTGGTAATCCCTAGTGGTGGGAGGGTTGTAGTTGGTGATCCCTAGTGGTGTAAGGGTATGTAGTTGGTGATCCCTAGTGGTGTCAGGATGTGTAGTTGGTGATCCCCAGTGGTGTCAGGGAGTGTAGTTGGTGATCCCTAGTGGTGTCAGGATGTGTAGTTGGTGATCCCTAGGGGTGTCAGTGGGTGTAGTTGGTGATCCCTAGGGGTGTCAGTGGGTGTAGTTGGTGATCCCTAGTTGTGTCAGGGTGTGTAGTTGGTGATCTCTAGGGGTCAGTGGGTGTAGTTGGTGATCCCTAGTTGTGTCAGGGTGTGTAGTTGGTAATCCCTAGTGGTGGGAGGGTTGTAGTTGGTGATCCCTAGTGGTGTCAGAGTGTGTAGTTGGTGATCCCTAGTGGTGTCGGTGGGTGTAGTTGGTGATCCCTAGTGGTGGCAGGGTGTGTAGTTGGTGATCCCTAGTGGCGTCAGGGCGTGTAGTTGGTGATCCCTAGTGGTGTCAGGATGTGTAGTTGGTGATCCCCAGTGGTGTCAGGGAGTGTAGTTGGTGATCCCTAGTGGTGTCAGGATGTGTAGTTGGTGAGCCCTAGTGGTGTCAGGGTGTGTAGTTGGTAATCCCTAGTGGTGGGAGGGTTGTAGTTGGTGATCCCTAGTGGTGTCAGGATGTGTAGTTGGTGACCCCTAGTGGTGTCAGTGGGTGTAGTTGGTAATCCCTAGTGGTGTCAGGGTATGTAGTTGGTGATCTCTAGTGGTGTCAGGGTATGTAGTTGGTGATCTCTAGTGGTGTCAGGGAGTGAAGTTGGTGATCTCTAGTGGTGTCAGGGTGTGCAGTTAGTGATCCCTAGTGGTGTCGGGGTGTGTAGTTGGTGATCTCTAGTGGTCCCTAGTGGTGTCAGGGTGTGTAGTTTGTGATCCCCAGTGGTGTCAAGGTGTGTAGGTGGTGATCCCTAGTGGTGTCAGGGTGTGTAGTTGGTGTATCCAGTAGTTCTCCAATCATTTCCGTTTTGTTGTAGCCTCAAAGGATGTGGGGTCAGTGGGTAGACTTTCAATGATTTGGTATGCTACGTCCGGTAGTGAGTGTGACTGGAGGTTGAAATAAAGTGCAACTTGGCTGTCTTTATGTAGTCGGATATCTCGTAGATGTTCAGAGATACGGAATTTGAATTCTCGTTTGGTTACCCCAACATATTATTGTTTGCATTGTGAGAAGGTGATTAAGTATACAAGACTTTTGGTGGTGCATTTGCTGTAGTTGCTGTAGACACGGACATGCTCCTATACCCAGTTAGTCGTTTTTCCCCGAACAGATTTAGTTTAACATCTTAGTATGGTAGAATCAAGTTACACACCTGAATATAACTTGGTGGTCATCCATCAAGGTTAAAGGGTCAAAGGTCACACTTGACCAGTTCTGAAGTATACAAGATTCCTCATGTATACCATAGTATAGTAACTTCATGTTCTACATCTGGTCATCCGGTCATTGATAAAAGATCAAAGGTCACGGGTAAAAGAGGTGATGTCAGGTACGTTTATGTGAGCCTCTGCTTACTTGGTATTTCTTGGGCATCGTCATTATATTTATTATGGCGTGAAAGGCTTACAAAGTATAAACTCTTACGTTAAAAGAAAACGTCAAAATTGCATTCCTATTGAAGGAGACATTGGAAGAATGAATCATGATTAGTTTTAAGGAAAAAGTATTGCTGTGATTTGTTCAACTAGAGGTAACAATTAACGATAGTTAAATAGCCTGTAGAACTTGACTTTGGTGTTTATACCAGGTGAGGGACGGTAGCACAGAGACAGCTCCTCTTCTAGGCCACTTCTGTGGCAGTGAGATACCCGATCCAGTAATCAGCTCACAGAGTAACATGTGGGTGAAATTTGTGACTGATCACTCGGTACAGAACCTGGGATTCTCTGCATCTTACGTTGGTGCTCCGATCCGTAAGTATATACCTTCTGAGACAACAATGAGAGAGAACAGTTTCCACAGGAAAGTGTTAAACTAGATTAATAGTGATACTTTGACATTGTATCCCCTTTTTGACCTGTTACATTAAAAACAATTCTATTAAAACATTTCGTAATTTACTCAAAATGCTCAATTTCCAGTTATAGAACGCATATCTTTATGTTCAAATGTAGAGTTTCTGTATCTTCGACAAACACTGATAATATGTATAATGATAATTAAGAGAAAAAGTGCCGAGGAGTTGCACTACTAAATATATATTCAGACCTACCTCCAAGACCACACTGTTATAAATAACTAGGTTCTGGTTTACTGGTTAGAGCTATATATTTGTACCTGTCCCATAGCTGTCAAACCTCCCTCATTGCGACCAACTTTTACCAATCTCCGGAGGAGTCCCTCGTAACTCCCTCATTGCGACCAAATTTTACCAATCTCCGGAGGAGTTCCTCGTAACTCCCTCATTCAAACACAAACTCGTAATCAACATCCTGTGGTAATAGGTGTGTCTGATTCAAATGAATGCTTTTAGGAGTTATTTGGATACATAAACAGGGAAAGATAAATTGAGCGAAGTAGTTTCAGTCGCATTTACCGCACTTTCTCCCTCATTGGAAATGTGTAATGAGGGAGATCTCCGTCATTGGAGGTTTCAGAGATTGACACCCTTGCTGTCTTTTGACGTTTGTTAGGGCCCCGTATCAGAGATACAGGTGCCCTATAGTAATCACTCTGTCTGTCCGTCCACAAATTTTGTTCCTGGCTGATAACTTTGGTATTTATTGACAGATGTATATGAAACTGGGTCAAGATGTTCAGTTCACAAAAATACACATTGAGGTAAAAAGTCAAGGTCATTAGGTTCAAAGGTCAAAATCAAATTTTGTATCTTTTCACTGGTGAACATTGTGGTATGACACTTTGAAGCAATGTTGCTCAGAATTAAACAAGGATTCAACTGACCAAAGGTCAAGGTCATCGGGTCAGGGGTCAAGGTCAAATTTTGTAGCTTTTCACAAATGAGGATTTTATGACATTATAAAGCAAAGGTGTTCGGAATTAAACAAAGAGACACACTGAGGTAAAAAGTTGAGGTCAAAGGTTAAGGTCATTAGATTCAAAGGTCAAGGTCAAATTTTACATCTTTTCCCTGATGAACATTTTGTTATGACATGTTGAAGCAAAGTTGATCAGAATTAAACAAGGAGTCAATTGACCAAAGGTCAAGGTCACTGGGTCAAAGGTCACGGTCAAATTTTGTATCTTTTCCCTGATGAACATTTTGTTATGACTTTAAGAAGCAAAGTTGGTTGGAATTTAACAAAGAGTCAACTGACTCAAGGTCAAGGTCACCTGGTCAATGTCAAGGTAAAATTTAGTATTTTTTTGCTGGTGAACATTTCATTATGACACTTTGAAGCAATGTTTGTGGGAATTAAACAAGGAGTCAATTGACCAAAGGGCAAGGTCACTAGGTCAAAGGACAAGGTCAAATTTCAAAGGTCACGGTTTTTAGTATTTTTTTGCTGGTGAACATTTCATAAGTTGGTCCGAATTTAAAAAGGAGTCAACTGACTTAAGGTCAAGGTCACATGGTCAATGTCAAGGTCAATTATTGAATCTTTTTACTGATGAACTTTTTTTATGTTATTATGTAGCAAACTTGTTCAGAACTTAACACAGAGTCAACTGACCTTAGGTCCAGATTAAGGGGGTCCAAAGGGTCAAGGTCAAGTTTTGTATTTTTCACTGATGAACATTTTGTTATGATATTATGAAGCAAATTAAAGTTGGTCGGAATTAAAGAATAAGTCAACTGACCAAAGATCAGGGTCACTGGGTTAATGGTCAAGGGCATTTGGGTCCAAAGGTCAAAGACAAAGTGGATCTCTGACTTTGACCCTGGCTCTTGATGAAGGGGGTATAAAAGGTGAAATAAAACAAAACAAAGCTAACAAATGAGTATTGCAACGGTATTTACATATCTATTAGCCCAGCAATTATGGAGGTGGAAGGAAACAAGTCTCACATCATAGTACATGTAAAATGTATATTTTGCTTCCTTGCGATTCTTTTTGAAGTCCAAATATCAAATGGCAAGCTCAGCTATATTGGCAGATTGCTTCTTGATGATTAAGGGGGATATATTGCCACAAGACGGGGCCCTTACTGACCTGTCAGTGTTCTAGTTGTTATACAATCCATTTGTTTTCAACTGAAATCAAACCAGCCTTAGAGACTACTTGTTTACAGAGACCAACTACCTATAACTACTTGTTTACAGAGACCAACTACCTATAACTACTTGTTAACAGAGACCAACTACCTATAACTACTTGTTTACAGAGACTAACTACCTATAACTACATGTTTACAGAGACCAACTACCTATAACTACTTGTTTACAGAGACCAACTACCTGTAACTACTTGTTTACATAGACCAACTACCTATAACTACATGTTAACAGAGACCAACTACCTATAACTACATGTTTACAGAGACCAACTACCTATAACTACTTGTTTACAGAGACCAACTACCTGTAACTAATTGTTTACATAGACCAACTACCTATAATTACTTGTTTACAGAGACCAACTACCTGTAACTTCTTGTTTACAGAGACCAACTACCTGTAACTCCTTGTTTACAGAGACCAACTACCTGTAACTACTTGTTTACAGAGACCAACTCCCTATAACTACATGTTTACAGATACCAACTACCTATAACTACCTATAACTACATGTTTACAGAGACAAACTACATATAACTACTTGTTTACAGAGACCAACTACCTATAACTACTTGTTTACAGATACCAACTACCTATAACTACCTATAACTACATGTTTACAGAGACTAACTACCTATAACTACTTGTTTACATAGACCAACTACCTATAATTACTTGTTTACAGAGACCAACTACCTGTAACTACTTGTTTACAGAGACCAACTACCTATAACTTCTTGTTTACAGAGACCGACTACCTGTAAATACTTGTTTACTATAACTACTTGTTTACAGAGACCAACTACCTATAACTACTTGTTTAAAGAGACCAACTACCCATAACTTCTTGTTTACAGAGACCAACTACCTATAACTACTTGTTTACTATAACTACTTGTTTACAGAGACCAACTACCTGTAACTACTTGTTTACTATAACTACTTGTTTACAGAGACCAACTACCTATAACTACTTGTTTACTATAACATCTTGTTTACAGAGACCAACTACCTATAAATACTTGTTTACTATAACTACTTGTTTACAGAGACCAACTACCTATAACTACTTGTTTAAAGAGACCAACTACCCATAACTTCTTGTTTACAGAGACCAACTACCTATAACTACTTGTTTACTATAACTACTTGTTTACAGAGACCAACTACCTACAAATACTTGTTTACTATAACTGCTTGTTTACAGAGACCAACTCCCTGTAACTACTTGTTTACTATAACATCTTGCTTACAGAGACCAACTACCTATGACTACTTGTTTACAGAGACAACTACCTATAACTACTTGTTTACAGAGACCAACTACCTGTAACTACATGTTTACAGAGACCAACTACCTGTAACTACTTGTTAACAGAGACCAACTACCTATAACTACTTGTTTACACAGACCAACTACCTATAACTACTTGTTTACAGAGAACAACTACCTGTAACTACTTGTTTACAGAGACCAACTACCTGTAACTACTTGTTTACAGAGACCAACTACCTATAACTACTTGTTTACAGAGTCTAACTACCTATAACTACCTATAACTACTTGTTTACAGAGACCAACTACCTATAACTACTTGTTTACAGAGACCAACTACCTATACCTACCTATAACTAGCTTAGAACATACTTTAGTTTGTTTCAATTTTTTCAGATCTATAGTGCTAAACTTTTCCAAGTGATTATTCAAGTTTACAGTAGCTTTAATTTTGTATTATTTCGACAACCAGCATGTGGCATGGTATTAACCGATACCAGTGGGACCATCCAGAGTCCCGGACACCCCAACATTTACCCACACGGGGCCAACTGTACCTGGAGGATTACAGTGGACGCTGGCCTTGTCATACGACTGACCTTCGCCACCTTTACGTTGGAGGGCAGTGGTAGTTCCTGTTACTTTGACTATGTGGACATATACGATAACTCATCAGCCGTAGAAAGCAGTCGTCTGGGAAGGTAGGATGTTTGTTATACCCCCAAATGTAATGTTGTACTCGTCGACTTGACTCATTAGCATATTCACGGAAAAGTATGTCATAACATAGGTCTAAACAACGTTTACAGATTGACAATCAAGTCTTAACTTCCGGGTGTTTTGTATTGATGTCCTATATGCGTGGCAGTAGTATTAAATGACAGGTTGGGATCACGATTGGGTTAGTACCATAGCATATTGGACCAACTTTAGCTAGGATCACTACATTGTAACACTGTAGCATAATGTGCGGTTGTACCGTCAGTGTTAGCGGAGATATTGTTCCACTCCTGAACCATTGAAAACACCTGCTAGTTGGACGGATGATTCAGGCGACACCATAATCCACCTCCCCAGATGTCCCAAATGCGCTCCATACGTTGCAGAATCAGGGTGACTTCGCAGGCCAATCCAAAATCTGAAAATTGTTTTGCTGCAGAAATATCCTGGTCAATTAACTCAATGTTGGATGTGGCATTGTCATGCTGACTCCAGTGATTTTGTTTTTGCCTATTTTTAAAACCTTATACTGGCAGCTTCCCTGAGTCAAAGAGTGATTTATTTTCCCAAAATCTTCCAAATTGCAATGAAAGTATTACTATGCATGCAGAATTTATGTAAGAACAGTCTGCTGTAAGTTTAGGTACAAAAAATCACTGGGTGATCAGGAAATTTCATGCATTATAGATTTAAACGAAAAGACCGCCCTTCCAATACGGATGTCTCTAGGAATGCTGAACCATTGTTTTATAACTCACCACATTCTGGTGTTCTGTAAGGTGACGTGTTAACCTTACAATCTCTGTTTAGGATATATTTTCATAGGTTTATAAACATAATGCAGCATTAATAACAACACCTGTTTTTGGTTGTAGATACTGTGGTCAAACGATCCCCCCTAGTATGACCTCTACTGATAACGTAATGACAATCACCTTCAGGTCGGACAGCAGTGTAGCTCACGAGGGATTCACAGCTTCATATGTTACACTCAATGCATCTACCAGTAAGTTATTGGCGATCATCCCCTCAGGGAGTAAGCCATGGCCCTATCATCCCCTCAGTAAGCAGTGGCCCTATCATCCCCTCAGTAAGCCATGGCTCTATCATCACCTCAGTAAGCCAGGCCCTATCAAGCCCTCAGTAAGCCATGGCCCTATCATCCCCTCATTAAGCTGTGGCCCTATCATCCTATCACCCCCTCAGTAAGCCAGGCCCTCTCATCCCCTCAGTAAGCCAGGCCCTATCGTCCCCTCAGTAAGCCATGGCTCTATCATCACCTCAGTAAGCCAGGCCCTATCAAGCCTTCAGTAAGCCGTGGCCCTATCATCCCCTCAGTAAGCCAGGCCTATCATCCCCTCAGTAAGCCATGGCTCTATCATCCCCTCAGTAAGCCAGGCTCTATCATCCCCTCAGTAAGCCCTGGCCCTATCATCCCCTCAGTAAGCGGTGGCTCTATCATCCCCTCAGTAAGCCATGCCCTATCATCCCCTCAGTAAGCCAGGCCCTATCATCCCCTCAGTAAGCCAGGCTCTATCATCCCCTCAGTAAGCCATGGGTCTATCATCCCCTCAGTAAACCAGGCCCTATAATTTCCTCAGTAAGCCGTGGCTCTATCATCCCCTCAGTAAGCCAGGCCCTCTCATCCCCTCAGTAAGCCAGGCCCTATCATCCCCTCAGTAAACCAGGCTCTATCATTCCCTCAGTAAACCAGGCCCTATCATCCCTTCAGTAAACCAGGCCTATCATCCCCTCAGTAAACCATGGCTCTATCATCCGCCCAGTAAGCAGTGGCCCTATCATCCCCTCAGTAAACCATGGCTCTATCATCCCCTCAGTAAGCCGTGGCCCTATCATCCCCTCAGTAAGCCAGGCCCTCTCATCCCCTCAGTAAGCCAGGCCCTATCATCCCCTCAGTAAGCCAGGCTCTATCATCCCCTCAGTAAGCCATGGGTCTATCATCCCCTCAGTAAACCAGGCCCTATAATTTCCTCAGTAAGCCGTGGCTCTATCATCCCCTCAGTAAGCCGTGGCCCTATCATCCCCTCAGTAAGCCCTCAGTAAGCCAGGCCCATTATCCCCTCAGTAAGCTGTGGCTCTATCATCCCCTCAGTAAGCCATGCCCTATCATTCCCTCAGTAAGCCATGGCCCTATCATCCCCTCATTAAGCTGTGGCCCTATCATCCCCTCATTAAGCCGTGGCACTATCATCCCCTCAGTAAGCAGTGGCCCTATCACCCCCCCCCCCCTAAACCGTGGCCCTATCATCCCCTCAGTAAGCCGTGGCCCTTTCATCCCCTCTGTAAACCAGGCCCTATCATCCCCTCAGTAAGCCAGGCCCTATCAAGCCTTCAGTAAACCATGGCCATATCATCCCCTCAGTAAGCCATGTCCCTATCATCCCCTCAGTAAGCCATGGCCCTATCATCCCCTCAGTAAGCAGTGGCCCTATCATCCCCTCAGTAAGCCAGACCCATCATCCCCTCAGTAAGCCAGGCCCTATCATCCCCTCAGTAAGCCAGGCCCTATCATCCCCTCAGTAAGCCAAGCCCATCATCCCCTCAGTAAGCTGTGGCCCATCATCCCCTCAGTAAGCCAGGCCCTATCATCCCCTCAGTAAACCATGGCTCTATCATCCCCTCAGTAAGCCAGGCCCCATCATCCCCTTAGTAAACCATGGCCCCATCATCCCCTCAGTAAACCATGGCTCTATCATCCCCTAAGTAAGCCGTGGCCCATCATCCCCTCAGTAAGCCAGGCCCTATCATCCCCTCAGTAAACCATGTCTCTATCATCCCCTCAGTAAGCCAGGCCCCATCATCCCCTTAGTAAACCATGGCCCTATCATCCCCTCAGTAAGCCAGGCCCCATCATCCCCTTAGTCCATGGCCCTATCATCCCCTCGGTAAGCCGTGGCCCATCATCCCCTCAGTAAGCCAGGCCCTATCATCCCCTCAGTAAACCATGTCTCTATCATCCCCTCAGTAAGCCAGGCCCCATCATCCCCTTAGTAAACCATGGCCCTATCATCCCCTCAGTAAGCCAGGCCCTATCATCCCCTCAATAAGCCATGGCTCAATCATCCCCTCAGTAAGCCATGGCCCTATCATCCCCTCAGTAAGCAGTGGCCCTATCATCCCCTCAGTAAGCGGTGGCCCTATCATCCCCTCAGTAAGCAGTGGCCCTATCATCCCCTCAGTAAGCCATGCCCTATCATCCCCTCAGTAAGCCATGGCCCTATCATCCCCTCATTAAGCTGTGGCCCTATCATCCCCTCATTAAGCCGTGGCACTATCATCCCCTCAGTAAGCCAGACCATATCATCCCCTCAGTAAGCCATGGGTCTATCATCCCCTCAGTAAACCAGGCCCTATAATTTCCTCAGTAAGCCGTGGCTCTATCATCCCCTCAGTAAGCCGTGGCCCTATCATCCCCTCAGTAAGCCCTCAGTAAGCCAGGCCCATTATCCCCTCAGTAAGCTGTGGCTCTATCATCCCCTCAGTAAGCCATGCCCTATCATTCCCTCAGTAAGCCATGGCCCTATCATCTCCTCATTAAGCTGTGGCCCTATCATCCCCTCATTAAGCCGTGGCACTATCATCCCCTCAGTAAGCAGTGGCCCTATCACCCCCCCCCCCCTAAACCGTGGCCCTATCATCCCCTCAGTAAGCCGTGGCCCTTTCATCCCCTCTGTAAACCAGGCCCTATCATCCCCTCAGTAAGCCAGGCCCTATCAAGCCTTCAGTAAACCATGGCCCTATCATCCCCTCAGTAAGCCATGTCCCTATCATCCCCTCAGTAAGCCATGGCCCTATCATCCCCTCAGTAAGCAGTGGCCCTATCATCCCCTCAGTAAGCCAGACCCATCATCCCCTCAGTAAGCCAGGCCCTATCATCCCCTCAGTAAGCCAGGCCCTATCATCCCCTCAGTAAGCCAAGCCCATCATCCCCTCAGTAAGCTGTGGCCCATCATCCCCTCAGTAAGCCAGGCCCTATCATCCCCTCAGTAAACCATGGCTCTATCATCCCCTCAGTAAGCCAGGCCCCATCATCCCCTTAGTAAACCATGGCCCTATCATCCCCTCAGTAAGCCAGGCCCTATCATCCCCTCAATAAGCCATGGCTCAATCATCCCCTCAGTAAGCCATGGCCCTATCATCCCCTCAGTAAGCAGTGGCCCTATCATCCCCTCAGTAAGCCGTGGCCCTATCATCCCCTCAGTAAGCAGTGGCCCTATCATCCCCTCAGTAAGCCATGCCCTATCATCCCCTCAGTAAGCCATGGCCCTATCATCCCCTCATTAAGCCGTGGCCCTATCATCCCCTCATTAAGCCGTGGCACTATCATCCCCTCAGTAAGCAGTGACCCTATCATCCCACCCCCCTAAGCCATGGCCCTATCATCCCCTCAGTAAGCCGTGGCCCTTTCATCCCCTCTGTAAACCAGGCCCTATCATCCCCTCAGTAAGCCAGGCCCTATCAAGCCTTCAGTAAGCCATGGCCCTATCATTCTCTCAGTAAGCCATCATCATCTCAGTAAGCCAGGCCCTATCATCCCCTCAGTAAGCCAGGCCCATCATTTACTCAGTAAGCCATGGCTCTATCATCCCCTCAGTAAGCAGTGGCCCTATCATCCCCTCAGTAAGCGGTGGCTCTATCATCCCCTCAGTAAGCCGTGGCCCTATCATCCCCTCAGTAAGCCAGGCCTATCATCCCCTCAGTAAGCCATGGCCATCATTTACCCAGTAAGCCAGGGCCTATCATCCCCTCAGTAAGCAGTGGCTCTATCATCCCCTCAGTAAGCCAGGCCCTATCATCCCCTCAGTAAGCCAGGCCCTATCATCCCCTCAGTAAGCAGTGGCCCTATCATCCCCTCAGTAAGTAGTGGCTCTATCATCCCCTCAGTAAGCAGTGGCCCTATCATCCCCTCAGTAAGAAGTGGCCCTATCATCCCCTCAGTAAGCAGTGGCCCTATCATTCCCTCAGTAAGCAGTGGCCCTATTATCCCCTCATGATCAGTAAGCAGTGGCCCTATCATCCCCTCAGTAAGCGGTGGCCCTATCATCCCCTCAGTAAGCAGTGGCCCTATCATCCCCTCAGTAAGCCAGGCCCATTATTTCCTCAGTAAGCAGTGGCTCTATCATCCCCTCAGTAACCCAGGCCCTATCATCCCCTCAGTAAACCATAGCCCTATCATCCCCTCAGTAAGCCAGGCCCTATCATTTCCTCAGTAAGCCAGGCCCTATCATCCCCTCAGTAAACCATAGCCCTATCATTCCCTCAGTAAGCCTGGCTCTATCATCCCCTCAGTAAGCCAGGCCAATCATTTCCTCAGTAAGCCAGGCCCTATCATCCCCTCAGTAAGCAGTGGCCCTATTATCCCCTCATGATCAGGAAGCAGTGGCCCTATCATCCCCTCAGTAAGCGGTGGCCCTATCCTCCCCTCAGTAAGCAGTGACCCTATCATCCCCTCAGTAAGCTGTGGCCCTATCATCCCCTCAGTAAGCCAGGCCCTATCATACCCTCAGTAAGCCGTGGCCCTATCATCCCCTCAGTAAGCAGTGGCCCTATTATCCCCTCATGATCAGTAAGCAGTGGCTCTATCATCCCCTCAGTAAGCCAGGCCAATCATTTACTCAGTAAGCCAGGCCCTACCATCCCCTAAGTAAGCCAGGCCCTATCATCCCCTCAGTAAGCAGTGGCCCTATCATCCCCTCATTAAGCAGTGGCCCTATCATCCCCTCAGTAAGCAGTGACCCTATCATCCCCTCAGTAAGCTGTGGCCCTATCATCCCCTCAGTAAGCCAGGCCCATTATTTCCTCAGTAAGCAGTGGCTCTATCATCCCCTCAGTAAGCCAGGCCCTATCATACCCTCAGTAAGCCGTGGCCCTATCATCCCCTCAGTTAGCCAGACCCTATCATCCCCTCAGTAAGCAGTGGCCCTACCATCCCCTCAGTAAGCTGTGGCCCTATCATCACCCTCATTATTCCATCAGACACATTGCATCGCCAGTCAATTGTGTGGAAAACATTTAACACAAATATCTTTTTTAAAAAATTCTTAATCAGTTATGTTTTATGTTATTTCTATTAGGAGTGATTGCTGTATTTTTTAACTATCCTTGAGTTGTCTTACCTGACAGTTTGCGGTGGAACTTTTACGACCAGTACAGGGATAATCACCAGTCCAAACTTCCCTGATAACTATCCTCATCAGAGAGAGTGTGTTTGGACCATCATTGCTCCTATGAATATCCAGGTTCTTCTCAACGTCACAGATTTCCAGCTTGAGAGTCATGCCAACTGTATGTTCGACTTCCTGGAAATAAGGTTTGTGATTATACGCCCCACAACGAGGTAATGGAAGGCATATACTGGAATCGGGTCGTCTGTCTGTCTGTCTGTCTGTCCATCTGTCTGTAGACACAGTGTCATTCGCACATAACTCCCACAGTTTTCAAACAAATTTCAGGAAACTCCTCTGATGTATTCAACAACAAGTGCAACTGCGATTAACTCACTCATCCTTGAGAGTTCATAATGAACTATTCCACCCTTTGAATTGGAACATAAATGTTCAAATGTGTCTTCAGGGGTGAATGAGCTAATGTTTTGATCCAGCCGTTTTTTTAGCTCGCCTGTCCCTTCAGCGGGACAGCAAGACAAAACCAAACAAGGATAGGTGTTGCTGAGAGACGGAGCAAATGTTTAATGTTTAGAAATAGTTGTTGCAGTGTTATATTTAATGAGAATATTTTCCCATGGTTACTTATTACTATCCAAGTGAGTGATACAGGCCCCTGTGCCTATTGTGTAAGGGAGTGATGCCACTTTTCTGATATCCTTCTAGGAATTTTGTTAGGAGTACTCCTTCTCACAAATTGACCAATGTTTATGAATTTACCTGTCATAGTTGTGAACTTGCGTCTTATTTTCAGTTTTCAGGATTTATATAGGAGTTATGCCCCTTTTAGGGCTGTATAGGATGTGCCTGACAGAAGCATTGCTTGTTTTTACGATTCATTTTGTATACGGGTTTGATTTGGTTATGGTTTTTACCTTGCTCTCTTTTATTAAGAAAAAACGGTGGTGTTGATGAATGACCTTTTATCACTAAACACTCAATGATTCAATTTCAGTATAGCATGTATAGTAAGGACTTGCCACCTTTCGTAATACACATGTTTTTCTTGTCGTATTTTCGTGTCGTCATTTCCGTATTGCGTATTGGGCATTCCATTACCGTAGTGTATATGATAGTAACACCGGGTAAACAATAGTACACGCGGGTGACGATGATATGTCAACACCCGATATCAAGACTTAACATGGAAATGTGTAATCAGACGTACTTCAGAAATAAACCTTATGGTACAAAGACATCATATGGGAAAACACTGACATACGATCAGAAGACTTCAAGAAGGTCGTATATGAGGCGCATGGAATGCAGACTGATGTGTTTTGTTTACCGACCTCACCTGTACGTATCACGTGCTAACAGTAGTTCACAAGCTCTTGGTCGCTACAACTTTTGTTGTCCAGTTAGTTACGCTCTGTCAGATAAATCAGTTCACAAATGCAATTACAATAACTCTGTGAAATTAGTGGTTTGTAAAATATCAAGATCCCTATAAATTGCAGGTGCAAGTGTGTGCACATGATAACGGCATACCATGCGATAGCCTATGGTTACCTATGTTCCTGACATGTAAATATACATCATGCGTAAGCGGGCTAGCAAATGATGTCCAACATGTATATGATTGAGAGTAATTTTGTTCCATAAAAGAACAGTAAATTGACAATTAAATACAGTTATTTAATTTATTTCCGCCGTTTCAGTATAGTAAAGAAAATAAGTGTCATTGTATAAATTGTATCCCTCTGAAAAAAGTTCCATTTTTTTTCAAGGTAAACAACTCACATCAGGATCAAAATTATTGTAAAATGTAAACTAAATGAATTATAAAGACTTTGTGTGTATTTGGTTCCATTTTTCACTCTTTTTATATGAAACTATGTGTCCTGTTTTCTTTTAGCTTGTGTTTAGTAACTTTTGTCCATACAATTTCAATAAAAAACGCTTTTTGTAACATGTTGTAGATATTTTATGAAAAATGAAATATTTGTAGGGTTGAATAGCAATGTTTCTTTTCAATTGTTGTAATACTTTTGAACAAAACTACATGCTCAAAAAATGTGAAAGTGTTGAATTTGACCAAAATTCAATTTTTCAGTATTTTTTCCCAAAAAATCCCCAGTTTATCGGAATGCTTAGATTTTCATAAATCATCTCTGCATAGTGACATAACCACTATGTGAAACTTTCATTGATTTCTGCGGGCTAATTGTGAAAGGGTGGAGCCTCCTTAACAGGCCTTTAGGTCTCATCACCCTTATCTGGCCACTTGCAGTTATTTACTTAGGCCAAATAATTTTTGTGCCTACCTTAAAATGTTTATTGGCATTTAGTGATATGCACTACCCAAAAGTCAGAACTCCTGCTCTATATAAGCAACGTAAAAATATTTTCAAAAAAAAATAAAATCCTACGTACCTACCCTATACTTCCAGAGGATGATAGCGGAAACACAAGTACATTTTTTTTTTGGCCTTATTCATCTTTCAACAGAAATGGGGGATTTGAAGATTCACCTCTAGTCAACAAATATTGCGGAAATACGATCGACACAATTATACAATCCCACAGCAACAGGATGTGGCTCAAATTTCAATCAGATGGTTCGTTATCTGCACGAGGATTCCGTATTATGTACGAGGCTACGGCTACAGGTCTGTATGCATTATAACACATTATCAGATCTGGATTTATTAAAAGTAAAAAAAAAAACAGACTTTGCACTGAAATTTCATGGTCAAAGTTTTTTGTATAATAAATTTCACTTTGTTGTTGAGTTCTTTGAAATATTAACCCTTTCACCACTGTAGACTATAATGGACCCATCCAGATCAATGTATGGTAGAGGCTACTAAAGATATATAGGTAGGAAAGGGTTAATGGGGGAAAAAAGTGAAAACTTAAAAGTCTTAATTAACAATGAGTGAAGTTTTGAAACATTTGTTATTCTTATGAATGTGATGTAAGAAATATTTATTTGCAAGGTATGATGTTTATATGATGCAACGAGGAAGGGGGTTAACTGTTACAGTTTTCATGATTTTACTCACATCTATGAGAAAAGGAAAGGTTAGCGACCTGGAATGTTTTAGAGCCAAATATTTCTGAAAGGACCCTCATTTAAGGTTAAATGTATAAGGTTGAGATCATTGTTACAGAGTGTGGAGAAAGGACCCTCATTTAAGGTTAAATGTATAAGGTTGTGATCATTTTTACAGAGTGTGGAGAAAGGACCCTCATTTAAGGTTAAATGTATAAGGTTGTGATCATTGTTACAGAGTGTGGAGAAAGGACCCTCATTTAAGGTTAAATGTATAAGGTTGTGATCATTGTTACAGAGTGTGGAGAAAGGACCCTCATTTAAGGTTAAATGTATAAGGTTGTGATCATTTTTACAGAGTGTGGAGAAAGGACCCTCATTTAAGGTTAAATGTATAAGGTTGTGATCATTTTTACAGAGTGTGGAGAAAGGACCCTCATTTAAGGTTAAATGTATAAGGTTGTGATCATTTTTACAGAGTGTGGAGAAAGGACCCTCATTTAAGGTTAAATGTATAAGGTTGTGATCATTTTTACAGAGTGTGGAGAAAGGACCCTCATTTAAGGTTAAATGTATAAGGTTGTGATCATTGTTACAGAGTGTGGAGAAAGGACCCTCATTTAAGGTTAAATGTATAAGGTTGTGATCATTGTTACAGAGTGTGGAGAAAGGACCCTCATTTAAGGTTAAATGTATAAGGTTGTGATCATTGTTACAGAGTGTGGAGAAAGGACCCTCATTTAAGGTTAAATGTATAAGGTTGTGATCATTTTTACAGAGTGTGGAGAAAGGACCCTCATTTAAGGTTAAATGTATAAGGTTGTGATCATTTTTACAGAGTGTGGAGAAAGGACCCTCATTTAAGGTTAAATGTATAAGGTTGTGATCATTTTTACAGAGTGTGGAGAAAGGACCCTCATTTAAGGTTAAATGTATAAGGTTGTGATCATTGTTACAGAGTGTGGAGAAAGGACCCTCATTTAAGGTTAAATGTATAAGGTTGTGATCATTGTTACAGAGTGTGGAGAAAGGACCCTCATTTAAGGTTAAATGTATAAGGTTGTGATCATTGTTACAGAGTGTGGAGAAAGGACCCTCATTTAAGGTTAAATGTATAAGGTTGTGATCATTGTTACAGAGTGTGGAGAAAGGACCCTCATTTAAGGTTAAATGTATAAGGTTGTGATCATTGTTACAGAGTGTGGAGAAAGGACCCTCATTTAAGGTTAAATGTATAAGGTTGTGATCATTTTTACAGAGTGTGGAGAAAGGACCCTCATTTAAGGTTAAATGTATAAGGTTGTGATCATTTTTACAGAGTGTGGAGAAAGGACCCTCATTTAAGGTTAAATGTATAAGGTTGTGATCATTTTTACAGAGTGTGGAGAAAGGACCCTCATTTAAGGTTAAATGTATAAGGTTGTGATCATTTTTACAGAGTGTGGAGAAAGGACCCTCATTTAAGGTTAAATGTATAAGGTTGTGATCATTGTTACAGAGTGTGGAGAAAGGACCCTCATTTAAGGTTAAATGTATAAGGTTGTGATCATTGTTACAGAGTGTGGAGAAAGGACCCTCATTTAAGGTTAAATGTATAAGGTTGTGATCATTGTTACAGAGTGTGGAGAAAGGACCCTCATTTAAGGTTAAATGTATAAGGTTGTGATCATTGTTACAGAGTGTGGAGAAAGGACCCTCATTTAAGGTTAAATGTATAAGGTTGTGATCATTGTTACAGAGTGTGGAGAAAGGACCCTCATTTAAGGTTAAATGTATAAGGTTGTGATCATTTTTACAGAGTGTGGAGAAAGGACCCTCATTTAAGGTTAAATGTATAAGGTTGTGATCATTTTTACAGAGTGTGGAGAAAGGACCCTCATTTAAGGTTAAATGTATAAGGTTGTGATCATTTTTACAGAGTGTGGAGAAAGGACCCTCATTTAAGGTTAAATGTATAAGGTTGTGATCATTGTTACAGAGTGTGGAGAAAGGACCCTCATTTAAGGTTAAATGTATAAGGTTGTGATCATTGTTACAGAGTGTGGAGAAAGGACCCTCATTTAAGGTTAAATGTATAAGGTTGTGATCATTGTTACAGAGTGTGGAGAAAGGACCCTCATTTAAGGTTAAATGTATAAGGTTGTGATCATTGTTACAGAGTGTGGAGAAAGGACCCTCATTTAAGGTTAAATGTATAAGGTTGTGATCATTGTTACAGAGTGTGGAGAAAGGACCCTCATTTAAGGTTAAATGTATAAGGTTGTGATCATTTTTACAGAGTGTGGAGAAAGGACCCTCATTTAAGGTTAAATGTATAAGGTTGTGATCATTTTTACAGAGTGTGGAGAAAGGACCCTCATTTAAGGTTAAATGTATAAGGTTGTGATCATTTTTACAGAGTGTGGAGAAAGGACCCTCATTTAAGGTTAAATGTATAAGGTTGTGATCATTGTTACAGAGTGTGGAGAAAGGACCCTCATTTAAGGTTAAATGTATAAGGTTGTGATCATTGTTACAGAGTGTGGAGAAAGGACCCTCATTTAAGGTTAAATGTATAAGGTTGTGATCATTTTTACAGAGTGTGGAGAAAGGACCCTCATTTAAGGTTAAATGTATAAGGTTGTGATCATTTTTACAGAGTGTGGAGAAAGGACCCTCATTTAAGGTTAAATGTATAAGGTTGTGATCATTTTTACAGAGTGTGGAGAAAGGACCCTCATTTAAGGTTAAATGTATAAGGTTGTGATCATTGTTACAGAGTGTGGAGAAAGGACCCTCATTTAAGGTTAAATGTATAAGGTTGTGATCATTGTTACAGAGTGTGGAGAAAGGACCCTCATTTAAGGTTAAATGTATAAGGTTGTGATCATTGTTACAGAGTGTGGAGAAAGGACCCTCATTTAAGGTTAAATGTATAAGGTTGTGATCATTGTTACAGAGTGTGGAGAAAGGACCCTCATTTAAGGTTAAATGTATAAGGTTGTGATCATTTTTACAGGGTGTGGAGCAGACCTAAACACTCCCACGGGTAGTTTTATCTCCCCTAATTACCCCAACACTTACTCCCATAATGCCGAGTGTTTCTGGACCATCACCGTTTCCCGCGGCAGTCAGATCATACTCAACATCACCGATATTGATATGGAGGGCAGTAGCAGTAGTACCTGCTACTTTGACTACATCCTGGTAAGATTTTATGTGAATATCTTTAGATGCTAAAAGAAATGTAAGTACAGTTATTATACCTCATCTTTATAACAGCGTGTCTGATTGGATGATACTGGTCACATGATGCAGCAATGAAAAATCTTAATATACCTCTAGTGAAAACCCTGCAATTTGATTGGTCGAGACAAATTGTTCATTTCACACTGTCAAACTCGCTTTAACATTTAGTCAATAGAACGGTGCTTCCCAATGCCCTAGCAACGGGCGACAGTGTAGTTTGACAGTGTAAAATAATGACTGCACAAAGAAGATGCGTGTACTGTTCGTTTCAGCCGCCATATTTTGAGTTCACCTGGGCGGAAGGGCCATGTGAACTTATGCCATACTGCGGCGTTCGGCATCTGCCGTCCGTCGTCCGTCCGTCAACTTTTTCTTTTGAATGACTTCTGAAGAACTGGAGGACCTAGGGTCATGATATTTGGCCAATAAGTACCTGGGATGGAGTGCTATAAAGTTTCATCATTAAAATGACCTTGACCTACTTTCAAGGTCACAGGGGTCAAATATGGTAAACATTTCAAACAACAATATCTTCAGACCCATTTGGTCTAGAGTCATGATACTATGATACTTGGGTATGTTATGTAGACCAGCTGTGTGAATTGTTTTCTTTATCATAGTCATGAGGTCAAATGTCAATTTCAAGTGCTAGCTGGAGTCAAAGGTCAACATGGGTTAAATCTTTAAAATTCAAATTTCAAATTTCAAACAACAAGAACCGTTAAAGAGATGTTAAAATGTCTTGTGTTCTTGTTACCAAATTTGGTCTGAAGTTACCTATATATGTCAGTTTCATATAACAATAGAAACAGGTGAGCCATACAGGCCCTCTAGGCCTCTTGTTTGCATTGTGATTCATCGCACATGTAGGTCCACAGGCACTCCATGACGCTACCGTGTCTTAATGGTAAGATGATGTAACGCTGAGATGAGTGAGATTTCCAAGCGCTTCATTTACGTGGTAGTCAGGATAAATGATTGGCCGTCTGCTACGTGAAGTAAAAAATGGCAAGATTTGCATATGTCAAGCAAGTTGGGTGATTTGGATAGACTTTTGACAGATAGGGACTCTAAAAGCAGACAGCCAGTACCGTCAAGACGAACATGTACAAAGCAGTTGTATTAAACAACCGGGCAGTGAAACACAAGGACACAATCACTGATGATGACATGAAGAAACTGTTCGGTAACCCGATCGTCAATTTCAAAAATTATATTGTTATAACGGCCATGTTTTTCGGAGTATTAAAAACACTAACTTTAGTGTTAAAGCTTGAATAGTTCACTGTTAAATTTGTTGATGAAAGTACAATTTACATGTATTTGTTACTTTGAAAACTTTGTTAATTCAGGACTTTCAGTATGATAAAATAAATACTACAATCATTAGATAGTGACAGTGCCTTCAGGGTCTGCCCTCGGATATCGCTGAGTTATAATGAGTTAAGTATTTATATAATGTCGCCCTCACATGCTGAAGTTTCCCCGATTATATTTCTCTTATTCGGAGCCTCTCTAGAAAAATTGACAAGAGCCAGAAAACCTAGTTCAGAATTAAGGAAGCAGACAACAACAAATTGTGTTCTTTGCCATTACATATTGTTAACTCCAGATCTGGCTGTCTGGTATTGGGTTTTTAGCTCGAAGGGCCAAGTGAGCTTATGGCATGGTGCGGCGTCCGGCGTTCGTCCGGCGTCTGGCGTCAACTTTTTACTTTAAACAACTTCTTCTCAGTAACCAAAAGGCCTCTGGTGATGTTATTTGGCCAGAAGCATGCTGGGATGAAGGACTACCAAGTTTGTTCAAATAAGTGACCTTCATCAATTTTCAAGGTCACAGGGGTCAAATATGTTAAAAACTTTTAAACAACTTCTTTTGAATAACCGAGAATCTTAGGGTGCTTTAATTTGGCCAGTAACATGCTGGGATGAAGGGCTACCAAGTTTGTTCAAATAAATGACATTGACTTATATTCAAGGTCACAGGGGTCAAATATGTTTAAAACCTTTGAATGAATTCTTCTTAATAAGCAAAAGGCCAAGAGTGATGATATTTGGCCATTAACATGCTGGGATGAATTCGGGCTACCAAATTTGTCCAAATGAATGACCTTCGCCCATATTCAATGCAAGGTCACAGTGGTCAATATATGTTTAAATCTTTAAATGAAGCATGCTGGGTTGGAAGACTATAAACTCTGATCAACCTAATTTCTTTGTTCGACATTCAAGGTCACGGGCGTCATATGTTTAAATCTTTTAATAGGTTCTTATGAATCAAACACTGATAGTCTGCCTGTAGTTGTATTTTAGTCCATTTTTAAGATTACAGGTGTGAGATTAATACCAGGTGAGCGATTCAGGCCCATTGGGCCTCTTGTTTTTGTATGTCGTTAACATCACCCCTCTTTTTCTGGTTTACATCATTCAGCTAATCTACGTTCACGTTGTGTACATGTGGTTTTACTTCCTGGTGCTTGTTTTTATTTTTATTTTATTTTATTTTTATTGATTTCTTTTACTGTAGGGAAACACAATTTTTGGTTTCTCCTCGATTGATCATGTTTCACTCAGCCTTAGCTCTAACGAAACATGATTAAGTTCGGAGAATCAAAGAATCAATACAGAAAAGACAATCAATGTATAATGAAAAAATAGATAGAAGTGTTCAAATTAGTTCATTGAACTGTCGTCATGTGATACAAAAAGAACATTGTAGTTTTTATTTAGCACAGAGTGAGGCCAATTGCCCGTGGATATCCAGTGAATTATGAAAATGAAATGGATTGTTGCAAATGATTTAAATTCTTTGCTTGATTAGGTAAGATGTGACATCATCCAATAAAACAGCTGGTGACAAATTCATTTTGGTTTACAGATCAGAGACGGTACTTCCACGGGAAGGCAGTTAGGTAAATTCTGCGGTACAACCATCCCTGGTGCAATCCAGTCGAGCGCTAACTTACTGTGGGTGAAGTACAAGACGGACTACTCAGTGGCCGGGCGTGGCTTCCACATCTCCTATCGTACTGGTAAGTACAGGACAGCATGTGACAGAGATCTCAGTGGCCGAGTGAGGTTTCCACATCTCCTATCGTACTGGTAAGTACAGGACAGCATGTGACAGATTTCTCAGTGGCCGGGTGAGGTTTCCACATCTCCTATCGTACTGGTAAGTACAGGACAGCATGTGACAGATTTCTCAGTGGCCGGGTGAGGTTTCCACATCTCCTATCGTACTGGTAAGTACAGGACAGCATGTGACAGATTTCTCAGTGGCCGGGTGAGGTTTCCACATCTCCTATCGTACTGGTAAGTACAGGACAGCATGTGACAGATTTCTCAGTGGCCGGGTGAGGTTTCCACATCTCCTATCGTACTGGTAAGTACAGGACAGCATGTGACAGATTTCTCAGTGGCCGGGTGAGGTTTCCACATCTCCTATCGTACTGGTAAGTACAGGACAGCATGTGACAGATTTCTCAGTGGCCGGGTGAGGTTTCCACATCTCCTATCGTACTGGTAAGTACAGGACAGCATGTGACAGATTTCTCAGTGGCCGGGTGAGGTTTCCACATCTCCTATCGTACTGGTAAGTACAGGACAGCATGTGACAGATTTCTCAGTGGCCGGGTGAGGTTTCCACATCTCCTATCGTACTGGTAAGTACAGGACAGCATGTGACAGATTTCTCAGTGGCCGGGTGAGGTTTCCACATCTCCTATCGTACTGGTAAGTACAGGACAGCATGTGACAGATTTCTTAGTGGCCGGGTGAGGTTTCCACATCTCCTATCGTATTGGTAAGTACAGGACAGCATGTGACAGATTTCTCAGTGGCCGGGTGAGGTTTCCACATCTCCTATCGTACTGGTAAGTACAGGACAGCATGTGACAGATTTCTCAGTGGCCGGGTGAGGTTTCCACATCTCCTATCGTACTGGTAAGTACAGGACAGCATGTGACAGATTTCTCAGTGGCCGGGTGAGGTTTCCACATCTCCTATCGTACTGGTAAGTACAGGACAGCATGTGACAGATTTCTCAGTGGCCGGGTGAGGTTTCCACATCTCCTATCGTACTGGTAAGTACAGGACAGCATGTGACAGATTTCTCAGTGGCCGGGTGAGGTTTCCACATCTCCTATCGTACTGGTAAGTACAGGACAGCATGTGACAGATTTCTCAGTGGCCGGGTGAGGTTTCCACATCTCCTATCGTACTGGTAAGTACAGGACAGCATGTGACAGATTTCTCAGTGGCCGGGTGAGGTTTCCACATCTCCTATCGTACTGGTAAGTACAGGACAGCATGTGACAGATTTCTCAGTGGCCGGGTGAGGTTTCCACATCTCCTATCGTACTGGTAAGTACAGGACAGCATGTGACAGATTTCTCAGTGGCCGGGTGAGGTTTCCACATCTCCTATCGTACTGGTAAGTACAGGACAGCATGTGACAGATTTCTCAGTGGCCGGGTGAGGTTTCCACATCTCCTATCGTACTGGTAAGTACAGGACAGCATGTGACAGATTTCTCAGTGGCCGGGTGAGGTTTCCACATCTCCTATCGTACTGGTAAGTACAGGACAGCATGTGACAGATTTCTCAGTGGCCGGGTGAGGTTTCCACATCTCCTATCGTACTGGTAAGTACAGGACAGCATGTGACAGATTTCTCAGTGGCCGGGTGAGGTTTCCACATCTCCTATCGTACTGGTAAGTACAGGACAGCATGTGACAGATTTCTCAGTGGCCGGGTGAGGTTTCCACATCTCCTATCGTACTGGTAAGTACAGGACAGCATGTGACAGATTTCTCAGTGGCCGGGTGAGGTTTCCACATCTCCTATCGTACTGGTAAGTACAGGACAGCATGTGACAGATTTCTCAGTGGCCGGGTGAGGTTTCCACATCTCCTATCGTACTGGTAAGTACAGGACAGCATGTGACAGATTTCTCAGTGGCCGGGTGAGGTTTCCACATCTCCTATCGTACTGGTAAGTACAGGACAGCATGTGACAGATTTCTCAGTGGCCGGGTGAGGTTTCCACATCTCCTATCGTACTGGTAAGTACAGGACAGCATGTGACAGATTTCTCAGTGGCCGGGTGAGGTTTCCACATCTCCTATCGTACTGGTAAGTACAGGACAGCATGTGACAGATTTCTCAGTGGCCGGGTGAGGTTTCCACATCTCCTATCGTACTGGTAAGTACAGGACAGCATGTGACAGATTTCTCAGTGGCCGGGTGAGGTTTCCACATCTCCTATCGTACTGGTAAGTACAGGACAGCATGTGACAGATTTCTCAGTGGCCGGGTGAGGTTTCCACATCTCCTATCGTACTGGTAAGTACAGGACAGCATGTGACAGATTTCTCAGTGGCCGGGTGAGGTTTCCACATCTCCTATCGTACTGGTAAGTACAGGACAGCATGTGACAGATTTCTCAGTGGCCGGGTGAGGTTTCCACATCTCCTATCGTACTGGTAAGTACAGGACAGCATGTGACAGATTTCTCAGTGGCCGGGTGAGGTTTCCACATCTCCTATCGTACTGGTAAGTACAGGACAGCATGTGACAGATTTCTCAGTGGCCGGGTGAGGTTTCCACATCTCCTATCGTACTGGTAAGTACAGGATAGCATGTGACAGATTTCTTAGTGGCCGGGTGAGGTTTCCACATCTCCTATCGTACTGGTAAGTACAGGATAGCATGTGACAGATTTCTTAGTGGCCGGGTGAGGTTTCCACCTCTCCTATCGTACTGGTAAGTACAGGACAGCATGTGACAGATTTCTCAGTGGCCGGGCGTGGTTTCCACATCTCCTATCGTACTGGTTAGTAAAGCACAGCCATTGATAGATTCCTCACTCAGGCCATGTCTAAAGTTTACATCTCCTATCACAATGGTTAGTACAAAAAGTGTATAGAGTTGAATAGGGAATACTCCATTCATCAGGAATACTCAGAATTAATTGATCATGAATGCCCCATTTATATGAAATACCTGAATTATCAGGAATACCCAATTTATTAGGAATACCCTGTTTATTAGGAATACCCTGTTTATTAGGAATACCCTGTTTATTAGGAATGCCCTGTTTATTAGGAATGCCCTGTTTATTAGGAATGCCCTGTTTATTAGGAATGCCCTGTTTATTAGGAATGCCCTGTTTATTAGGAATGCCCTGTTTATTAGGAATGCCCTGTTTATTAGGAATGCCCTGTTTATTAGGAATGCCCTGTTTATTAGGAATGCCCTGTTTATTAGGAATGCCCTGTTTATTAGGAATGCCCTGTTTATTAGGAATGCCCTGTTTATTAGGAATGCCCTGTTTATTAGGAATGCCCTGTTTATTAGGAATGCCCTGTTTATTAGGAATGCCCTGTTTATTAGGAATGCCCTGTTTATTAGGAATGCCCTGTTTATTAGGAATGCCCTGTTTATTAGGAATGCCCTGTTTATTAGGAATGCCCTGTTTATTAGGAATGCCCTGTTTATTAGGAATGCCCTGTTTATTAGGAATGCCCTGTTTATTAGGAATACCCTGTTTATTAGGAATGCCCTGTTTATTAGGAATACCCTGTTTATTAGGAATACCCTGTTTATTAGGAATGCCCTGTTTATTAGGAATACCCTGTTTATTAGGAATGCCCTGTTTATTAGGAATACCCTGTTTATTAGGAATGCCCTGTTTATTAGGAATGCCCTATTAGGAATACCCTGTTTATTAGGAATACCCTGTTTATTAGGAATACCCTGTTTATTAGGAATACATCATTTATCAAGATTACCCTCTGGTTCCCATTTTATTAGAAATATCCTTATTTCTGAAGTTGAATGCCCAGATCCATGGTAGATGGAACATTACCTGCTACAAAGTGGCATAGATCAGGTGTACATATTGTCTATTCCTCCGTCCATGGTTTCTTTTAGCAGCTTCTTTTTGAGCACTGAGTGACCTAGGGTCATGATATTTGGTTTGTTGTTATCTTAGATTGAGACCTATAAAGTTTATTTCAAGAATCTCAAGGTCACAAAGGTCAGATAAGTACTTCAACACTTTCCTAGAAATCTTAAAGTTCAAAGTAACAAACTTTGACATTTCTCTGCTGAGACTAGTAGCAAATACTAGCATGTTTCTTACAGATCACAGAAATGTTTAAGTGGCAAAATCATACAGTCAACAAAAAGTATGCTTAGCTTAAACATAACAGTCTAGGTGAGCACTGCAGGCCCTGTGGACCTCTCGTTGTTGTTTTTTTGCTTCTTTTTAAGACTTTCATCTGAAAGACTTTGTGTTTCAGTGTGTAATGTACGACTGACGGGATTTTCTGGGGTGATAGAGAGCCCTAACTTCCCTCAGCCCTACCCACACAACCGTAACTGTACCTGGATCATAGAGACATCTCAGGGTAACACCATCAGTGCTGCGTTCTCCCACTTTGATGTAGAGACGCACCATTCATGTGCATGGGACTATTTACAGGTAAGTAAAATACCTCCATACTTCTTCCGCGATATTTATTTCCCTTCCTCAGCAGAGATTGTTCCTCTCACCTGATTGTTCTTCTCGCCTGTGACAAACTCTGCACTTAGAAATGTATATTTCCCTTCTTTAGCAGAGATTATTCCTCCCACCTGATTGTTCTTCTTACCTGTGACAAACTCTGCACTTAGAAATGTATATTTCCCTTCTTTAGCAGAGATTGTTCCTCCCACCTGATTGTTCTTCTCACCTGTGACAAACTCTGCACTTAGAAATGTAGATTTCCCTTCTTTAGCAGAGATTGTTCTTCTCGCCTGTGACAAACTCTGCACTTAGAAATGTAGATTTCCCTTCTTTAGCAGAGATTGTTCCTCCCACCTGATTGTTCTTCTCACCTGTGACAAACTCTGCACTTAGAAATGTATATTTCCCTTCTTTAGCAGAGATTGTTCCTCCCACCTCCCACAAAGACATCGCTCACCGTTGCCATTAGAGACTTTTCTGCCACTTTCCAGAAGAATTTTCTCTTCCCTTCAGTAGAAATATTTATTTCCGTATTTACTTTAACCTCGCCCATAGCAAAGACTTATCTGTCTTCAACAGACACCTTTCCTTCTCCTTTGAAGTTCTCTATCGTTCCTTCCAAAGATAATTTTCTCTATTATCAAAAAGAAGCACAACTCCTCCTAAATCTTCAGTTGGATTTTTTTGTGTAATTTGGCACAGTGATAGTGCATCATATGTGAATGTGCATGCAGAAAGGAATTTTCGATTGGATTATTTTCCTGGAGTGATGGCCCTTGAAACTTTAAACATGTGCTCAAGAAAACTTGTAGGTACAATTCCTCCTTGACTCTTTGTTGATTTTTTTTACCTGACACAGTGAAAGTATTAGTCATATGTAGATGTTCACGAAGAAAGGAATTTTTTATTCTAAAAACAAATCCTGGAATTATGACCCCTGAAACTTTACATGTCTACTCCAGAAACCTTATAACTCTTCTTCAACTGTTATTTCTGTAACTTAGCACAGTGAATGTACATCATATCTATATGTGCATGGAGGAGTGAGTTTTGATACAATGATCATACCCTGCTGTAAACAAATTTTGAATACCTAGATCAGATGAAGGAGGGGTATATCTTTGTGAGTCGCTCACAATTTCTCTCCTTCGCTAATTCCATGACCTTCAGTGTATTACAATGTCCTCTTCTCCTTTTATCCTAGCAATTACTTTCTATATCTCCTTCAGTATATAACCAGCCCCTTTATAGTGCCTAAAGGATGGCAGTAAAGTGAGGGTATCTTTATAGTGCCAAAAGGATGGCATTACAGTAAGGGTATCTTTATAGTGCTAAAAGGATGGCAGTACAGTGAAGGTATCTTTATAGTGCTAAAAGGATGGCAGTACAGTGAGGGTATCTTTATAGTGCTAAATTGATGGCATTAAAGTGAGGGTATCTTTATAGTGCCAAAAGGATGGCAGTACAGTGAGGGTATCTTTATAGTGCCAAAAGGATGGCAGTAAAGTGAGGGTATCTTTATAGTGCCAAAAGGATGGCAGCACAGTGAGGGTATCTATATAGTGCCAAAAGGATAGCAGTAAAGTGAGGGTATATTTATAGTGCCAAAAGGATGGCATTAAAGTGAGGGTATCTTTATAGTGCCAAAAGGATGGCAGTACAGTGAGGGTATCTTTATAGTGCCAAAAGGATAGCAGTAAAGTGAGGGTATCTTTATAGTGCCAAAAGGATGGCATTAAAGTGAAGGTATCTTTATATTGCCAAAAGTAATTTTTTGATCCGTTACGTTTTTTTACTCAGATTCGTGATGGAGAGTTGACATCGTCTGCGTCCCTAGGCAGGTTCTGTGGTACAAACCTCCCCGCTCCTGTCAACAGCACCTCTAGCAAGATGCTGGTGCATTTTATGTCTGACTTCAGCGTGGCAAGTAATGGATTTCGTCTTGAGTATGTCACCAATGGTAAGCTTTTCTGGATAAATAAGGTGCCATTTTCAACAACAATTTATTTCTAAATTGTTGGTCAAATTTCTATAAACAATGAGTTTTTCATATTACATTGAAAAAAGTGGGGAAAAGGAGGGAAAAATCTGGGTTTTATTTTTATTTTCCATCTTTCTATATTGTATGCAATATTCATGAATAGTCATTTGATATTGTCATAAACTATATTATTTAGCTGTTGCGAATTCAATCAATAACTTCATTATAATTTGCTAATTTATCATTTAAATATTGCATATTAAACAACATTTTTTATTGATGAAAATTGGTTTTACATCATTTCTTATATCATTAAAATAACATTTAGAACCAAAACATAATGTAAATACCCAAATTTGAACTTATTTGATACTTTCTGAAATAAGTTTATTTGTCGACAGGTTGCGGTGGTTACTTGGTGAACCCAACAGGCAACTTTACGAGCCCTAACTACCCCAGTAATTACCCTCACGCTCGCGTCTGTGAGTGGCAGATAAACCTAGCTACTGGTGTGAGGATAGAACTCACACTCAATGACTTCGACTTTGAGCCTCATGTCAACTGCGGTTATGATGGATTGGAGGTATAATTTTTAGCTCACTTAACCCGAAGGAGCTTTATGCCGTGACTGATATTCAAGGTCACAGGCATCAAATATGTTTAAAATTTGAAAGACTTTTTTCTGAATAACCAAAAGTCCAAGGGTAATGATATCTGGCCATTAGTATGCTAGGATAAGGGCTACCACTTTCGTTAAAATGAATGACCTTGACTTATGTTCAAGGTCACAGGGGTCAAATTTGATTAAAATCTTTAGATGACTTCTTCTGAATAACCATGAGGCACAGAATGATGATACTTAGCCAGTAGCATGCTTGGATGAAGGGCTATCAAGTCATTTGAATGACCTTAACCCACTTTCAAGGTCACATTTGGTAAAAAATCTATATACCTTTTAAATGACCTAATATTAAATGGCAAGTTGCATGCTGAGATGAAGGGCTATAAAGTTTGTTGAATGTCACAGGGGTCAAAGGTCACAGGGGTCAAATTTTTTAAAATGTTTTCACTTTTGAATCACTTATAGTTCTAATTACTGATACTTTGCCTGTAGCTTTATTTTAGATCACTTTAAAGGTTACAGGTGTGATATTGATACCAGGTGGGCGATGCAGGCCCAATTTTAACAAAATTGTGTGACTAAAGTGACCGAGACAGACCTCAAGGTACCTTGTTTCAACAGCTGAAGAATGTTGACAGTTATCTATAGGGGCTACAGTGGCCGAATGGTTAAGGCGCCTGACCGTCGATAATCACTAGCCCTCCACCAAATCGAATGAATCGCAGGTTCGAGGCCTACATAGGCCAGTCTTCGGGTAATGGCCGAAGGTCGCCTGGTTTTTTTCTGTGAACTCTGGCTTAATTTCCCCTCCTCTAAAACCTGGTACATCCTTAAATTACCATAGCGGTTAATAGGACGTATTAAACACAAACAAACCAAAACCCGATACTACATGTCTTGTACAATTGCCATATTTTATGTACAAGTACCTAAATGTTGGATCACAGAGTGTTGTGTGCTGAAACTTTGTATTATCATACTAACCAACTTTTTAAAGAATTTCATGGGAGAGATTATGCGTCCTCAGAATTAAAAGCATAAATAAAATGTGTGTTTGTATACACTAGGGGGGCAAAAACACTCTTGAATTACATCTATTGAGCTGTTCTTTCAGGTGAAATCATCATATCTTAGAAAATAGAAATAGTTAAGCAAATTCACTAGTTGAAAATGTTCAATTTTAGGGTCCACAATCGAGATTCTCCATCTAAAAAAGGGAGAGTTCACAAGTATGTATCATGCCCAGTATTACCCAGTAATACCCAGTTATACCCAGAGCCCCTGTTTGGTACCAGAGTTTGTCCAGATGTGAGGAAACTAATGGTTTGTTATAATCTGTCTTGTCCAGAGATGGTAAACTTCATTGTTATACTCTGTCTTGTCCAGAGATGTTAACCTTCATTTTTTGTTATTCTCTGTCTAGTCCAGAGATGGTAATCTTCATTATTATACCCTGTCTAGTCCAGAGATGGTAAACTTCATAGTTATACTCTGTCTAGTCCAGAGATGGTCAACTTCATTGTTATACTCTGTCTAGTCCAGAGATGGCAAACTTCATTATTATACCCTGTCTAGTCCAGAGATGGTAAACTTCATTGGTATACTCTGTCTAGTCCAGAGATGGTAAAATTCATTGTTATAATCTGTCTAGTCCAGAGATGGTAAACTTCATTGGTATACTCTGTCTAGTCCAGAGATGGTAAAATTCATTGTTATACTCTGTCTTGTCCAGAGATGTTAACCTTCATTTTTTGTTATTCTCTGTCTAGTCCAGAGATGGTAATCTTCATTATTATACCCTGTCTAGTCCAGAGATGGTAAACTTCATAGTTATACTCTGTCTAGTCCAGAGATGGTAAAATTCATTGTTATAATCTGTCTAGTCCAGAGATGGTAAACTTCATAGTTATACTCTGTCTAGTCCAGAGATGGTCAACTTCATTGTTATACTCTGTCTAGTCCAGACATGGTTAACTTCATTGTTATACTCTGTCTTGTCCAGAGATGTTAACCTTCATTTTTTGTTATTCTCTGTCTAGTCCAGAGATGGTAATCTTCATTATTATACCCTGTCTAGTCCAGAGATGGTAAACTTCATTGTTATACTCTGTCTTGCCCAGAGATAGTAAACTTCATTGTTTTTTATACTCTCTCTTGTCCAGAGATGGTAAACTTCATTGTTTGTTACACTCTGTCTAGTCCAGAGATGGTAAACTTCATTATTATACCCTGTCTAGCCCAGAGATGGTAAACTTCATTGTTATACTCTGTCTAGCCCAGAGATGGTAAACTTCATTGTTATACTCTGGCTAGTCCAGAGATGGTAAACTTCATTGTTTGTTATACTCTGTCTAGTCCAGAGATGGTCAACTTCATTGTTATACTCTGTCTACTCCAGAGATGGTCAACTTCATTGTTATACTCTGTCTAGTCCAGAGATGGTCAACTTCATTGTTATACTCTGTCTACTCCAGAGATGGTCAACTTCATTGTTATACTCTGTCTAGTCCAGACATGGTTAACTTCATTGTTATACTCTGTCTTGTCCAGAGATGTTAACCTTCATTTTTTGTTATTCTCTGTCTAGTCCAGAGATGGTAATCTTCATTATTATACCCTGTCTAGTCCAGAGATGGTAAACTTCATAGTTATACTCTGTCTAGTCCAGAGATGGTAAAATTCATTGTTATACTCTGTCTTGTCCAGAGATAGTAAACTTCATTGTTTTTTATACTCTCTCTTGTCCAGAGATGGTAAACTTCATTTTTTGTTATACTCTGTCTAGTCCAGAGATGGCAAACTTCATTATTATACCCTGTCTAGTCCAGAGATCGTAAACTTCATTGTTATACTCTGTCTTGTCCAGAGATGTTAACCTTCATTTTTTGTTATTCTCTGTCTAGTCCAGAGATGGTAATCTTCATTATTATACCCTGTCTAGTCCAGAGATGGTAAACTTCATAGTTATACTCTGTCTAGTCCAGAGATGGTAAAATTCATTGTTATACTCTGTCTTGTCCAGAGATGTTAACCTTCATTTTTTGTTATTCTCTGTCTAGTCCAGAGATGGTAATCTTCATTATTATACCCTGTCTAGTCCAGAGATGGTAAACTTCATTATTATACCCTGTCTAGCCCAGAGATGGTAAACTTCATTGTTATACTCTGTCTAGTCCAGAGATGGTAAACGTTGTGGCTTGTTATACGTATACTTTGGCTTTTGAATTTAAAATACTAATCTTTTCAAAACATGATATGGTGATGCATTGTAATAGGTATGCATCGCAGGTTTAAAAAAGACTATCAGGTCAAGGTCACTGTAACTTAAAGTAGACTTCAGGGATACAGTCAGGGACATGTTCGGCACTTTGCTGATCTGTCAGTGTTCTAGGTCACAAATGTGTTTTAACAGGAAAATGAAAATGTTCACAGGAACAAGGTCACTTAGTAATTAAGGTGACTGAACTTGCAAATTAATTCTTAAAAGTTTAAATTGATAAACTGTCTACTGTTTGTTCTGACAGATCTACGGAGGTATGGACAGCGCCTCGCCACTTCTGATAACACTCTGCCATACACAGACGCAGCCTCAGGTTTTTACATCCACTGGTAACCAGATGTTGATACGTTTCCGTAGCGATGTGTCTATCAGTGGGCGGGGTTTTCATGCTTCCTATAGATCTCTACCTGGAGGTAAGACTAAATGAATGTAAAGGAATGAAATAAGACTAATTGTCTATAAACATATGTTCATATAGGGAACACAATAATATTAATGAACTTGTAAGTCATTCTTTTCCAAAATGTGCTCCAGTCGTTGACATCTCAGGTCCAGCTCCAAAAAAGAGTGACTTACCAGTTCATTAGTAAAGGAATACCCTACATAAAAATTTCAATTATTTTCATCGCATGGATATCAATTATTTAATATCCACCCTGTAGGTGTCATGTTGATGATTCTGACAAACGAAAGTTCATATTTGTGAATTCTTCAAAGAAACTAATTAATAATCATATTATATGCATCTTTAATCTTTTCATATCAGCTGCAACCATTTTTTTTTTAAATGATGTTTTTATGTAATGCACTGGATTTCTTTTAATCATATTGGAGCCAATTTTTTGGCCTGTATCACATGTGAACAGATAAATTGCTCATGTTTTCTAACATTGCTTTTTAGGATGTGGGGGAAATTTTTCGACACCATCTGGAACGCTCACTTCGGCCAACTATCCCAATAACTATCCCCACGATACTGAGTGTGTCTGGTTGATCACCGTGGCTCCCTCCAGGAATATCCTGCTTACTTTCAATGAATTTATCCTGGAGGGCAGTTCAAGCTGCTATTTGGACTACGTAAAGGTATGGTGGACATTTGGAATTGATTACAATTTGTTATTGAACTTTCGTAATTTACTAGGATATATATTCTATAATTATTAACCAGATGATAGCGAGAAATTATTTTTTAACAGAGTTATTTCCCTTGGTAACAAACATTGATATCTCCCTACTACCAGTTCAGCAAATGATTCTGTTTTGATCAGGTATTTGATGGTCCTACGATGAATAACACATTGCTGATGACACATTGCGGCAGTTCTCTCCCTTCTCCTCCATCATATCGTAGCTCTGCCAACCAGATGCTTGTACGTATGAGGACGGATTCATCTGTATCACGAAAAGGCTTCAATGCAACCTACGTTACTGGTAAGTGATAACTAATGAGGTGATCAATTTTTTTCTGATTTAAATCGAATCATTTAGATATTGGATACCAACATGGCAACCCTATATTCATTTCTGAGGACACTTTCCCATGGCTTTGATTTTTTTGATACTCTGGTATGGACTGATTAACTTCAAAAAGAAAACCATGTTAGTTTCCTTTCTTACCAATAAACACATTTTCATAAAGAAAGAAATCACCTATTTTCTTGGTTTTTTTTAAAACCAAAATATGTCAAATTAAATAACACTTCTTTTCTAAAATATCAGTCTGTATATTGGGCATAACTACCATGAACAATGAAAATGAATTTGGTTATCGTCTTTCCATGAATTGATAGTGTTTTTGAAAGTTTGGTTGATCTGTTTTGTTTAACGGACGTATGAAAAACAGTCCAAGGGAGGCCACTCTTTTTGAAAAGTTTGGTTAACGCATATATGAATATCAGTCCAAGGGAGGCCACTCTTTTTTAAAAGTTTGGTTAATTCATATAGGAAAAACAGTCCAAGGGAGGCCACTCTTTTTGAAAAGTTCGGTTAACGCCTATATGAAAATCAGTCCAAGGGAGGCCACTCTTTTTGAAAAGTTTGGTTAACGCATATATGAAAAACAGTCCAAGGGAGGCTACTCTTTTTTAAAAGTTTGGTTAACGCATATATGAATATCAGTCCAAGGGAGGCCGCTCTTTTTGAAAAGTTCGGTTAACGCCTATATGAAAATCAGTCCATGGGAGGCCACTCTTTTTGAAAAGTTTGGTTAATGCATATATGAAAAACAGTCCAAGGGAGGCTACTCTTTTTTAAAAGTTTGGTTAATGCATATAGGAAAAACAGTCCAAGGGAGGCCACTCTTTTTGAAGAGTTTGGTTAACGCATATATGAATATCAGTCCAAGGGAGGCCACTCCTTTTTAAAAGCTTGGTTAATTCATATAGGAAAAACAGTCCAAGGGAGGCCACTCTTTTTGAAAAGTTCGGTGAACGCCTATATGAAAATCAGTCCAAGGGAGGCTACTCTTTTTTAAAAGTTTGGTTAATGCATATAGGAAAAACAGTCCAAGGGAGGCCACTCTGTGAAAATTAAATTTGAATTTTTGATCATCCAGAAAAATAACAAAAACTGTATAATATTAAGTAATGCTTAAATGAAGCCACGCCAGTAACACATGACTAACTGTAAACAACTGTGATAAAACAGGCTGTGGAGGAACGCTGACAGCAGAACAAGATGGAGAAATCATGTCACCTAACTACCCAGGAAACTATGGTCCTGGTAGCAACTGTTCCTGGCTAATCCTCGGTGATCATGCAGGTAGATTGGAAACATGTGTACTATCTTTGTGTTAAAGATATGCTATCATGAACTGGAAAAATTTGGTCAAGCAACAGGTATGAAATAACAAAGGCTAAGCTTGTTTTGAACACAAAAAAGAATTGAAAACTTACTTTGCAAGCTTTCGAAAATGTCTGTTTCCTTTGTCAAGCAAAGAGTGTAAATGACTTGTGTCCTGACACTTAACTGCTGAAAACAGCTCACTGAGCCACAATGTACCTAAACAGTCAAGTCAAATGTCAAAAATCATAGAGACAGTTTCGCCAAATCCAGCACTCTAAAACTGCAGACAGTTGGGAGAGCGAGTAACATGTTTACCCATTCCTAAAAATCTTAATACGAAGGTATGAAATAATTTGACAGAATCTGATATAATATAAAGTGTTGTTTGTACAGAGATTAACATCCAAACAATAGCTAGCTAAAGTCAATTTAAGGATGTGCCTCCGTGTGTATTGTGTATGTGTGCCTGTGTGTATCGGAGTGCTGGAGGCAGGGTACATATATGAAGTGAAACCTTCGTAATCTGACTAAGCTACAACATTAAGGTCAGATTATACAGATGTAGGAATGTAAGAGTTTTATTTGGTAGCAACGGACCGGGGTGCATCATCATGTGTGATTACTGTAAACATACTTCTTATCATAAACATTTAATGAGAACTCAAATTTTATCAAATTTTGACAGAATAGAACATTGTTGTCTTGGCATCACTGACAATACACTGTACATGTATATGCAGCAGAAAAAAACAAAGAAATTTCAATAAGTGAGGTAGTAAAACACACTGAAATAAAACAATACCACTCTAGTACCGTATGTATCCAGAAATAAGCCCATGCCCGGTAATAAGCCCATCCAAGTAATATATAGCTCAGTAGAAATACTAGCAAATCTTATTTCAACTGCATTACTTTGTGTCAGAGCTTATGGGGTAAATACAAATGTTTAACTCATTCACCCCTCAAATTTCATGATGAACTATTCCAACCATTGAATTTGAAGAGTTCAAATGTGTCTTCAGGGGTGAATGAGTTAACAGAAGGCTCAAATAACCTATTGTGATCCGTTTAAATATTCATAAGAAATTATTTAATGATATTTGGCTACTGGCCTAAAGCTGAGATAAAGAACTGTTAAATTACATACTTTCAAGGTTATATAGTAGTAGAATGTACTAAAAGAAAAATCACCAAATGGGAGTCTTGTTAGCAAGTGGGATTGGCTTGCTTGTTTGTTTGTTGTTGGTATAACATCCTCACAATTGCTTAAGGCCTGATGTAGACAGGTACCTAGGGAGACAACACTAAATAAAATAGGGAGGTGAGGAAAGACACGAAGATCCCTAGTGTTGTAATGGAGGCAGTGGGCAATGGTGGTTTCTTCAGTGTCTGCTAAACAGAAGACACAGAAGATAATGCTGAATCTGCAGGTCGCGTACATAAGTCGCCTCTTACAGGTTACGTACATTAGTCGCCTCTTACAGGTCACGTACATTAGTTGCCTCTTACAGGTCACGTACATTAGTCGCCTCTTAAAGGTTGCGTACATAAGTCGCCTCTTACAGGTCGCATACATTAGTCACCTATTACAGGTCGCGTACGTTAGTCCCCTCTTACAGGTCGCGTACATTAGTCCCCTCTTACAGGTCGCGTACATTAGTCACCTCTTACAGGTCGCGTACATTAGTCGCCTCTTACAGGTCGCGTACATTAGTCCCCTCTTACAGGTCGCGCACATTAGTAGCCTCTTACAGGTCGCGTATATTAGTCGCCTCTTACAGGTCGCGTACATTAGTCGCCTCTTACAGGTCGCGTACATTAGTCCCCTCTTACATGTCGTGTACATTATTTGCCTCTTACAGGTCGCGCACATTAGTCGCCTCTTACAGGTTGCGTACATTAGTAGCCTCTTACAGGTCGCGTACATTAGTCACCTCTTACACGTCGCGTACATTAGTCACCTCGTACAGGTCATGTACAGTTGCCTCTTACAGGTCACATACATCAGTCGCCTCTTACAGGTGGCGTACATTAGTCGCCTCTTACAGGTCTAGTACATTAGTCGCCTCTTACAGGTCGCGTTTATTAGTCCCCTCTTACATGTCGTTTACATTAGTCGCCTCTTACAGGTCGCGTACATTAGTCACCTCTTACAGGTCGCGTACATTAGTCACCTC